TAATTTTCTTGCATTTACTTTATTTCTCGAGCTATTCCACATTTAGCTCAAGTCTTATCATAGTTTGAGTTTGCTTCAATTAACTTTCAAACTAATTTATAGTTTTTTTCTCCTCTATCGGAGAGACATATATGGTATGATATATGATATATTGATATGGCAGTTCGACGTTGACCAGATTTTGCCAATATGTCGGAAGCGTATTAGAGCTTCTTCTTTTGTTTCTTATAGAGAGTTCCTTTTTCTTATTCAATCCCAATTAAGCCCAATTTTAATTTGAGAGACTTAAGAAAACCATAAATAATATATTATCAGAAAAATAGAAAAATAATTTCAATTGTGAATCTTCTTCTTTAAAATCGATGCCAAATAGTGTATATACAAAAAAGTGCTTACATCGAAGAGCTGCCTCTCTTCATGCGTAACGCGTTTAATAACAAAATAACAATACGCTTTGGTAGGGTATATGCTTATGAAGTCTGGCATCTCCAGCGGAAAGACATGAAAAACTTGTGCATATGATAAAAAGATACGCAAGCAAATATATGTACATCTAAATGCATACAGTTATACACACACACACACACACTCGCACACACACAAACATATATACATACATATATCGAATGATATTCAATCTTGTGCCAAATTGTGTAAACATTTTCCGCGTAACCAAATATCAAAAAAAAAAAAAAATAATAAAATAAAAAAAAAACAGTTACGTTTTATGTTTCGCAAAAGAAGAAACAGATAAAATACAAAAAAAAAAAATTATAACAAATTGAGAATTTCACAGAAATCCGAAAATGGATATAAGACAAATACAAATTAAGCCAGGGGATTAGGCAGACGTAGGGCGAGAGAGGGTGGGGAGAGGGAGAGAGAGAGAGAGAGAGATAGCGGTAGCTGCACTTAGCTGTAGATGTGCATGTGTTTGTATGTATGTGTGTATGCACGTATGCATGTATGTATGTATGTATGTATGCATGCATGTATGTATGTGTGTATGTATGTATGCACATACATATGCATGTTATTAAAATTATATCCATGTACTTATGTCAGGGACAAGAATGCGCTGCTAAGGCAAAGCTAAAAATAACAACTGCCGATAATGACGTTTATTTTAAATCCGATTATAATAATGATTATGCAGATGACGATGATGATCATGATGTTAGCAACGACAGCAACCCACGTAAGATGCAAGGCGCACTAAGTTAAAGCAGAAGAAGAAGCAGCAACACAAGCACAAGCATCAAAGTTGAACCAGGAAAACAAAAACGTTATAATCGTGAGTTTGCCCAACTGGCAAATACCCTGCACAAAGTGTTTTCTCGTACAACAAGCTGCGCCGAAAATACATAAGCTACATGGATAAATAATCGAGGGGGCTAAATAATCGCAAATAACCGTTATAAGCCAGTTAAATGAATATTCAAACTAACATATTAGAGATTGCCAGCCTATGCAAAAACCAATATACCCCATTCAGTCAAACAGCAACGGAATATGCGTGTGGGCGGTGGGTGTGCTCGCAAATGAAGGTAGAGTATTAAGGAGAAGCAGGAGCGCACAAAGTATACCAAGGTGTCAGAGCAAGACAGACTCAAAAGTTAAGAAAGAAAATACAAAAAAAATAAAACAAGAAAATCCAAAACTAGACAAAAACTTGGCAATGGCAACGGCAACGGCAACGGCAACGGCAGTAAAGATAAGCACACACAGCGACAACTCAGAACTGGGAACTGGGAACAGAATGGAATAAGAAGAAGCAGCAGCAGCAGCAGCAGCAGCAGCGGCGGCAGCAGCAGCGGCAGCGGCCACATAGACAAGTTTATGCAAGGCTGGAGGGGCATAGGGGGAGGGGGCGCTGCATAAATGATGCCAAACCAGCAAGTCCTCTCACCTATGCTTGTATATGTACTATGCAGGTATTTATGGCTGTGCGTGTGTGTGTGTGTGTGTTTGCCTTTGTGTAACTCTCCACCCAGTTCTCAGCCTCATCAACATCATCAGCAACATCATTATGATCATCTTGAACATCATTAATGCAACGCAAGGCAAAGCTAAACCGCAAGCAAAAAGAAGTTGCGCCAAACTGCAAAGTCGCATTTGGAATGCCCTTACCTACACACAAGCAACAAGACGAAGAAGAAGCAGAAGCAAGCATTCAAGCCGCATAGAAAACATAGAAAGTCAATAACATAGAAAACATTTTCTGCACTAAGTTGATTTTTCTGCATTTCGTTCTTAGTTGAAAAGAGCGAGCGAGCGAGAGAGCGAGTGAGCGAGTGAGTGAATGAGTGAGTGAGTTTCTGCTGCTTGGGGTTTTGGGTGGGAGCATACGCAGAGCGCAACTTAAAAGAGACCCGACTTGGGAAGAGAGCGCAGAGCGGAGCGTATGCACGTGAAATAAATGCAATTACCGCATTCAATGCGCGCTTGTGTGTGTGAGTGAGTGAATGAGCGTGAGACGTGTGACTGTGTGTGTGTGTGTGTGTGTGTGTGTGTGTGTGTGTGCGAGCGTCGTTGCGCGTGCATGTGTGCAAGTTTTATAATTTTTCTATAGTTTTTTTTTAATACAAGCCTTTGGTATACTCTGGACTATGAGTGTGTACAATTACTTTGACATGCACGTTGATAAGCTTCAGAAGGAAGTTACCTAGACCTTATCTGTAATTTTTTTTTTTAATTAATTTATTTTTTAACAATGTATGCACGCTCATGCAAAAAGGTGTAATAATTATGAATGCCAGTTGTTCCTTATACCAAGTTAAATGTTAGCTATTCTATGGATTCTGATTGAATCAATTATAACTGAACTTATCTAAGAATCTGCTGTCAGTGTATTTAGGCTTCGACGAGCTGCATTGAAAGGCTCCTTCTTCTTCTTCTGCTTCGTCTACTTGTTATTTTATGCGTTCACAAAACTTGAGAAGCAAAAACAAAAACGAACGACATTTTCTGTATACGCGTCGCCGTCGACGTCGACGTCGCCGTTTGTTTGAACGCCGTCCGCCCGCTCGCCCGACCACCCGCCGCTCCATCTACCGTTTTTGCAGCGCTGCTGCAGCGCTGCACTTACTGTTGTTGTTGTTTTATACGTTTTCTTACACAAATTATTTTTTTTTTCTTTCTTCATATGCATTTTGATGTGCGTGTGCCAGTCGACGATGTTTTTTGCCTGTGTGTGTGCGTGTATGTGCGAGCGCGCGCGCGCGCGTGTGTGTGCGTGTGTGTGTGTGTGCTCGCCTCGGATCAAATTTGTTGAATTGTTTATTTAGTACGCTGTCGTTGTTGTTGCGTATATACATGCATATATATATATATATACGTATATATTTTTTCAGTTATTGTTATTATCGTTAGTTGCAGTTGCATTCGCTCTCAACGTTTGCTTCGCTCGCTCATTCGTCTACATTCCGTCATTTGCTGTCTCTTTCCTTTTTGGTATTTGTAAATTACATAAATTGTCTTGGACTATAAATTACGGGAAGATTATTATGGATTGCTGCTTGCATGTGTGTGTGTGAGTGTGCATGTGTCTGTGCAATTGTATGCATGTAGGCAGTTGTTGTTGGCTTGGTTCGGTTTTGGTTTCGCTTTGCTTGCATCGATGAAACGAACGCAATAACCACAACAACAACAACAACAACGACAACAACAACGGCAACAATGTGTTTTTTATGCTTTTATAGAGATCTGCATTTAATGATACTCTGCCAATCGCACATAGTTACACATGTACATATAAGTACGTGTGTGTGTGTGTGTGTGTGTGTGTGTGACTCAGAGGATGGAAATGGATATGGTTATGTTAAATAGCAAGTTTTGCATGTGTCGTAAAATGCCAAGCGATGTTTTTTTCTGCTGCTGCTGCGGCAGCCAGACAAAGGCAGGGCAAAGGATCATTAAAAAAAAATGTTGAAATGCGCACCTTTTAAAGCGCTCTGCTCTTATCGGTCCAACTAGATTTGCAATTGGTATGACAGTGGATGCTCCCAAAAAATAAATGGAATCTAATTGGATCGATGCACACACATGCACACACATGCACCTACACAGGCAGATTCCAACACTGCTTGCATTAGTTGACAGCTGCGCCTGATTAATCGATTATATTAATCGATGCATGTGCCTGGCTTAAATGCCAAATTGCCTGTGTGAGTGTGAGTGTGAGTTAACGTTAGATTCGAAGACGTGACAAAATGGCGCAATGTAAGAAAGTTATTAGCTAGAAGAAGCATGCGAATGCGAGGTCATTGAGCTGAAACAAGATATGAAACAGAAATGGAATAAATAAAAACAAACTGTTATACATATATGTATACACAACTGTTATACTACATAATATGCATATGCAAACAACTCAGCTTAACTGCAATTGAAAATTTGTAAAAATTATAACATTTCACTTCAATTTCATTCAATTCGTGTGATTGTAGATTTAGCTATGCATAATATCCATGTATCAAGTCTGTGTGTGTGTGTGTGTGTGTGTGTGCGTGCGTGCAAAGAACAATAAGCAAATACATGGATAACAACAAATTCTCTTGGCATTTTCTTGAGCATTATCAACGTAATCTACGCTGCTTGCCAACACACACACACACACACACACACGCACACGCACACACATACACACGCACTGATTTAACGTAACTATTCCAGTGGCTCAGCTCAAGTGAGCATAGTTAATGGCAAACAACAATAAGAACTAGCGAAAGAGACAACAAAAAAAAAAGAAGCAAATACGAGGCAGCAGCACACACACACACACACACACACACAAACACAAACACGCGCGCGCACACACATGCGAGCAACAGCAGTAATAATAACAATAATAAATTGAAGAGTTAAACTAATAACGAAATATGAACACACACACACACACACACATGCGAACATTCATATCTATAGCTCAATATAGTGTTTGTATGTTAAGTAAACGTCACACATATACACACACGCGCATATATTAAATACATACATACCTTTATTTAGTCGAAATTGCTATTTATTTGCTTCTTCTTCTTCTTCGGCTTTGCCGTGCCTATGGGCTTCTTCTTCTTGTTGTTGTTGTTGTTGCTGTTGTCGCTGCTGCTGTTGTTGTTGTTGTTGTTGCTTCTCCGTTTCTTTTTACTTATTAGTTTTTTTTTTTACACAAGCAGAGAATCAATTTGGAATGTTTAAAGATACTTTTTATTGTTAATGTACGTTTTTTCTTTGTATTTCTTTTTTTTATGCTATGTGCCGTTTTTCTTATTGGTGCTTACATAAATTTCGTTGCGTTTGCAATTTGAATTTGTTCTCTTATTTGATTTGTATTTTTTTTTTTGCACCTGCACCTTGCCGTATTTCACATGAAATTCATGTATTTTAACAAGTAATAAAACAACAGAAAAAAAAATACACAATTGATTTTATTGAAATAAAAAAAATAACATGCACAAGCTTTTGTATCAATTAATTCATTTTCACAAATCTCATTGACAAAACGGTAAACACAATTCAAAAATGCGCTGTTGCTGTTACAGTTATTTTGAGTCAATTTACGCAAACTGCGACGCAGCGCTGCGCTAAACACAAGACGTCCGCTCACCGCAATGATCTGACAAGACAAAACAAAAGCATAAAAAACAAAATAGAAACCAACACAAAAAACATCAGCACATGATAAATGCACTGTACAAGGTCAGTTGTTGCATTGGCCGCATTGTGGGCGCGCTCTGAGAGCGTGTAACCTGTGTAAGTTATGACGTCACGCTCACTAAACCGCGAGATAATTTAGGCATTTTAGCTGACAATTTGCAAATCTTAATTGATTAGTTATATTTGTATGTTTCAAAACGACTTAAATATGCAGTGCTTTTTATATGCGTATGTTTATTGTCAATCTGCTACATGTAAATAAATACAAATAGCTTATGACGTCAAATCAGTGTTTAGCTCTTGGCACTACCTTATCAGATTACAGCGCTGCAAGCTCTTAATGTTAACGCGCTGTTCCACCATACTACTGTTATGTCTGTTTTAAACTCAGTTGGTGCTGTCAACATGACAAAATCAATGTATCGATAACAGAGCAAGGCTGAATTTGGCACGATAACATAATATTGTCTTTTTAACAGTTTATGTTGAGTGTCTTATGCTTTGGTAAATTTATTAAATAGACACAAATAAAGAAACAAATAAATGTAATTGCATATGACGCAAACAATGTACATATATTAGCCTTGTAATGCAATGGGTAAATGTGAACTAGCACAAGTGCAGCAACATATGTTAATGTGCGTATTTCATAACAGCACGCAGCAAATTGCTAAATAAAAAAAATCAATTAAGCAGCACTGTGTGCACCCACACATTTATTAAAAACTTGATTTTAATAAAATAATTTGTAAAAATTTCTTATCGATTCGCAAAAAATGCAACGCTGGACGAAAAATGAGTGCGCAGCAACCATGCCGGCTAGTTTTTGACAATTGGAATGACGCCCCCTCCCTTACCTAACGATAGCACGAACAGACCGACCAACTGGAAGTCGCTGAGCATAACAGTGCCAAAATGAGCAAACAGCGCTTCCATGCGAAATATTGGTGCATGCGTGTTGCTGTGTGTGTACGTGTACGTGTATATCGTGGAAATGGCTTCCAATCAGAATTTGGAAGTTTTTTTTCCATATTGATTAGTTATATGTCGCTTTTGTTGTTTACTCGCCACATTTTTTTGGTCAGTTAAATTGTGTGTGTTGTGTTTTGCAAAAGACGCGGCAAATTGCGCGAAAAATTACGCAAAAATAGAAAAAAGCAAAAACGAACGCAAACAAAAAAAAAATAAAAAATAAAAAGTTAATAAAACGAAGCAAAAGAAGTAGAGAGAGAAAGAGGAAGCAGCAGCAGTAGCAGAAGACGACGAAGAAGAAGAAGAAAAACAACAAGAAGCAAACGTTAGGCGCCATTTTCGCATAAATCGCGACCCAGCGATACACAGAAAAACACCCTCGATGTCCGCGGGTGTGGGTGGCGGCGGAGGTAGCATAACCACAGATCATCATAGCCGTTTATATTTTCTTAATTCGCCAACGGCGCCGCTTACCGCCCGCGATCCGTTCTTCATTAAACCGGAATATCTCAACTATGAGAATCCCATGCACCATCTCTATCCGAGCAACAGGGGCCTCATAGAGTATAACAGTTATACGACAACAGTTGCCGCCGCTGCTGCGGCCAGTGCGAGTACAGGTGCCGCTGCTGCAGCCGCTGCCGCAGCCGCTGCCGCCGTTAGCAGTAACAGCAATAGCAGCAATAACAATAACAGTGCCAGTAACAGCAACAACAACAACAACAACAACAGCAACAATAACAATAACAGCGCAAGCAACAGCAACAACAACAACAGCAACGCGAACGCCAACGCAAGCAGCAACAGCGAAAACAGCTTCCAGCCACATCCGCAACAACATCCGCAGCAGCAGCAACAGCAACAACATCCGCAACATCCGCAGCACACACAACAACAGCAGCAACAACATCAACAGCAGCAGCAGCAACAACATCCACAGGCGCCGCATCCCCTGCACCAACATTTATCCACCGGCATCGTTGTCACCGGCGTCGCCCTCGGTCATCAATCGTCGCGGGCACAGAAGGCGGCGCGTCGGCGCAGCAACGAATCTGTCGAGGCACGGGAACGACGTCTGGAACGGAACGCGGCGAGAATGCGAGATAAGCGCAGCAAAGAATCGGAGGCCGAGTATCGGCTGCGTTTGGCCAAAAACGCCGAGGCGAACCGCGTCCGACGCCAAAACGAAAACGAAGTACAAAGAACCCTAAGACTGATGAAGAACGCCGCCCGCCAGCGACTGCGACGCGCCAGCGAATCGAACGACGAGCGCAAAAAGCGTCTGGCCAAGGCGGCCGAGCGGATGCGCGTCTCGCGGGCGAGTGCTCCCAAGGTGATCAAGCCGCCGCTCGAGGATCGCCTCAAGGGCTACTAAGGAGCAGCATCAGCAGCATCAGCAGCAGCAGGCGGAATCCAATCAGACAACACCCAACACACGCACGGATAGACAAACAGACAGACAGGCCATATACATGTGCACGCCTATAGCCGAATCCAATCAGAGCGCAATTGGAAGCTTCTGAAGCGGGCTTCAGCAAGTAAAGTGCATTCACACACACACACACACACACACACACACACACACACACACACGCAATAACAGTAACAACATAGGTACACACAAACACACACACACACACACACACACACACACAGACACAAAACAATACAACACACGGAATCTAATCAGATGATATCTAATCAGAAAACTGTAAGCATACACAAATAGCAGCAGCAACGCAAGAAGAAAGCCATAGAAGAAGAAGAAGAAGAGGAAGAAGAAGAAGCAGCAGCAGCATGGCCAGTAGAAGCAGCAGCATATGTGTGTGAAAGAGAAAGAAATACAGCTATAAATAATATATATTGTATACATAAAAGAAAAGAAGCAACATATAACATTTACATAGAAATGTGTAAAGAAAACAACAACAACAACAACAACAACAACAACAAATAAGTAAAGCAAATAATAACAAAGAGTAAAATGAGCTAAATAAGCCGCATAAAACATAAACAACAACAATAACAACAATAATAATAATAATAATATGGATAAAATGAGGCACTTTTTTTTTTTTGGTATTTAACAGAAAAAAAAAGTGTCGAGAATTTTTTTTTTAAGTTAACATTAACAAAGATGAAGTAAAAAAAGAAAACAAAAGGAAAGGAAGAAAAGAAAACAAAAAAAAAAAAACAAACAAAAAAAAAGTATTTTTATAATGCATGCATTATATTCTTACAATATATAAATATATATATATATATGTAGTTATATATATACAACACACAGAATAATATATAGATACACACACATACACACACACGCGCGCGCAGTCATGTGTAAATGTATGCACGCCTCACACACACACACACATACGCGCGCGCGCGCGCACTCACACACGCACGCATATGTGCGGGATACACACATGTGGCGCAAAAAGAAGAAGCAGCAGCAGCAGCAGCACAGCGCGAGAAACCCCAAAAAGCAAAAAATTAACTTCAACCCCATATGCACACGCACACACACACACACACACACACACACACGCACACACGGCCATGCCCACGCCCACACGTGTGCATATGTGCGCCGCATACAGGGTGACTCAATGCTAAGAATTGCAGCGAGCGCAGCCAAATTCGTCTTCTAACTGTTATTTCCCATTTCTAATAAGCATTTTTTGCTTTTGTTTTGCTTTTGCTTTTGGTTTTATTTGTTTCGCCGCTTGACGTCAGGCCGCCGCTGCAACAGGTGCGACATCTTTCGGTCAATTTTGCAAGCTGCGGCGCGCCTGTTCACGTTTTATTTTTGGCAACAACAAATATTAGAAAAAGACAATTTCAACAAATTTCGAACGCATTTTTAACCCTTGGTCCAAAACAAGCAACCCCCATGTGTGTGTGTGCGTGTGTGTGTGTGCGTGTGTGTGTGTGTGTGTGTGTGTGTGTGTGTGTGTGTGTGTGTGTGTGTGTGTGTGTGTGTGTGTGCGTGCTGCCCCCACATGAATAGGAGCAATTCACACACGACTATGTGTACATACACACACACACACACACACGCACAGTCAGCCACATCTATACACACACATATATATACACACACATACATACATATATGTACATGTACATGGCATATTGTTATAGCAACATTGAACGCCTCCAAGCCCCGCCCACCCCCCACCCCCCTGCCATCAACCCATTCTGCACAGCGCCCAATACTTTTGCGAATAAACTAAACAAAAAGAAAAAAATAAAAAAAAAAACAACAAAAAATCGAAAAAAAAAATGCACCCTCTAAACATTTACAACTGAGCAAATTAACAAAAACAAAAATAAAAAATAATTAAATAAAATGAAAATGCAAAAATAATTATATATCTATATATATATATATTATATATATATATATTATATATATTAAACGTACCACTTAAGTTCTAGTCGAAATTTCAAATTGTTTTTTTTTCTTACTCTTTTAACGAGCCCCTATAACCCGCCCTCACCCCCCCCCCCCCCCCCCCCCCCCACGCCCTTCCGCCTTACACGCAAAATTGTTTTGATGTAAAATTATATGAAATACATTTTATGTAATTGTAATATTCGATGTACACTAAAAACCAACAACAACAACAACAAGAACACACTTAAACAAGAGAAAAACCAACACAAGAAGCAAACGAAAAACAAAATGAATACTTGAATAAAGTTGCATTCACAATTTTTAAATGAAATATGCATTTTCAATGAATTATGCGCGCATTTTTGTCGTTTTAATCAATTGTGAATCGATAGTTGTGGTAAATTTGAATTTTCGCGCCAATTATCGTTGCGTTGCGTGCCTATCGGAATTGCGCGCAAAATATTGTCCGATAGTTATCGGACGTGGACAGCCGCGCTTATCGCTGATGCTACATGTATACATACACACACCTACAACATCCAGTTTCCAATATTCCAGTTGTATTTATTTTTTAACGTGTTGTTGTGTGCGTTGGTACAGAAAACGGCCGAGCATTTTGCTTGCCGGAAAATTTAGCGCGTTTTTTTTTGTTGGAACATTCGACGAAAACAAACCGAAATTCATAAACAATTGAGCAGTATACTAAAACACAATCAATATACCAAATTGAACAATTGTGAAACCAAATGCCGAAATATGGGAAACTAAATATATATGTATATACATGCGTGTATATGTGCATATATAATAATATGCATACGGTGAACACATTTAAATAACTCAAGTGTATGTGTGTGCGTGTGTGTGTGTGTGCGCTGCGTTTCACAAATGCCGACAAATTGAAGCGGCAAAGTGTTAGGGAAATATGTAAATAAGCTGCAACTGATGCAACAATTGTGGCAAAACGCTTCAAAATATTTATAAAAGACATTGTATGTATGTATGTATGTGTGTGCTGCATACAGATACAGAGACAGGCAGACATACGTGTGCGTCTGTATATATAGAGGCCGCCGTTTGCTTTAGCTGTGTGTGTGTGTGTGTGTGTGTGTGCGAACCAGCCAGCCAGGCATTCTGTGTGCGTGTGTGTGTGTGTACATATAATCATGTGAAAAATCGATTGGAAGGCACTGGAAGCCGTATAGTCATTGGAACGGCACAGCGGCAGCGGTGGCGGCGCCAATTGTCATTTACTATCAAGCAAGAAGAAGAAACGTGCGCACGCACCAAAAGTAGCCACCAAAAAGAGAGAAAAAGAAAAAAAAAAGTAAAGAAAATAGAAAATAGAAAAGAGTAAACCGATTTCAAACGAAAATAAAGCAAACACGCAACGGCACATTTTTTGCACATTAACATTAAATAAAAGGCGCAAAGCAACATTTGCGCTGAGTCTGGTGAAAGGTGCGCAATTTCGTTTAGCTGAGACACAAACCGTACGTTTTGAATGACATTTGTTGTTGCCATCCGTATGAATATTTTGTTCTTTTCCTTTTCTATTCCCTTTCTGATTCTTATTATTATTATTATTACTACATTTGCATGTGCAGGCGGCGCGAGAAGAGCAAGAGCTGGGCAGCCCGGAGAAATAGCTGAGGCAGCGATCGACATTTAGAAGCATATTGCAAATTGATTGACAAGCAAAAGAGGAAAAAAGAAAAGCAAAAAAAAAAAAGGTGATGCGCAAAACAGAAACCGAAACGGCAACCAACAGTCACACCGATTGCGAGAGCGACAGCTAAAGAGTGTGTGTGTAACAGAGAGAGAGAGAGAGCAGCAGCCAAAAGTTGTTAAAACGAAAACGCACAAAACAAAAAAAAAAAAGAGGGAGAGAGAGAGACACACACACACACACTCACGGATAGAACACATATGCATGTGTGCACGTACGTGCAGAGCGATTGCGATTAACGATAACGATAATTGAGCGCAATTTCTTTATATAACAACGAACCGAATTGCGAAGCAGCAAACAAAACAAAACAAAACAAAAACGCAAAACAACGGCAAACGCAAGCAAAACGAGAACGGCTGTTAAATGCGGCGATCAAAACGCCAACGTTATTGTCGACCGAGCAGCAAAAGCAACAACAGCAACAACAGCAGCAACAAAAGTTATCGATATCATCAACAGGACGGAGATACGCGTATCGCTGTTTGTTGACAACAACAACAACAACAATCGATCAAGCAGCAGCAGCAGCAACAACAATTTGACGACAATTTCGATTGTTGTTCAGGCTTTGCAAAATAATGGAACCAGATCCCAATGGGATAAAGATAGAGCCAACACTTGACCATCACCAACATCAGCAGCAGCAACAGCAACAACAGCAACAGCAGCAGCAGCAATACGCAACACATGTGCTGGCAATAAATGGTCCCAATGCGCGCCTACTTATCGAGCATCCGTCAGCGCTGTTGGTACCATTGTCGACACATCAGCAGCAACAGTTGCAACTGCAACAGCAACAGCAGCAGCAACAGCAGCAGCAGTTTCAGCAACAGCATCAGCCACAGCAACAGCAGCAGCAGCAACATCATCTACAACAGCAACAATTTCATCAGCAACAATTGCAAATAACATTGCCCGCTTACACACAGCCGCTCTCCCTAAAGCAACAGCCCCCGCCCACACCGTTGGGACCCGCCTCCAGTGTCAGCAACGTATCAGCCAATACACAGCAGCAACAGCAACAGCAGCAACATCATCAGCACCAGCAAAGGTGGAACGAGAGTCCGGAGGCACGTCAACGCCGTTTGGCCCGCAATGCTGAAAGGATGCGGGAGAGGCGACAGCGTGAAAGCGAAGACGAGTACAGAAAGCGTTTGTTGCGCAACGCGGAAGCAAATCGACAGCGACGCCAAAACGAATCCGATCTGGAGCGAGCGATGCGCCTGGTCCGCAATGCGGCGCGCCAGCGTCTGCGGCGCGCCATGGAGTCGCCAGAACAGCGGGCGAAGCGTCTGGCCAAGCTGGCGGAACGGATGCGCATGTATCGGGCCAGCGAGACGGCCGATCAGCGAAAGATACGACTGGCCGAGATGGCGGCGCGTGCGCGCCAGCGCATCGCCAGCGAGTCCGTGGAGGAGCGCAAGGAAAGACTGAGAAAGCTGAACGACTATGCGAAAAAGGTCAGAGAAAAGAAAAAGATATACAAACAGGTGCAGGTGCAGGTGCAAGTGCATGCAGGCGTGCCGCAGAATTCGTCGTCGTCTTCATCGACTAATTCGACCAATTCAAACACACTGACCGCGCAGCAGCAGCAGCAGCAGCAACAACAGCAACAGCAACAACAACAACAGCAGCAGCAGCAGCAGCAGCAGCAGCAGCAGGTGCTTGCCGTGGCAACAGCAGCTGCTGCCGCCGCCGCCGCCGCTGCGAACGTAGCTGGCACAGCCAATTGTAATAATGAGCATAATATTAATTTAAATCAGGCAAACGTCAACTCAGCGACTGCCAACAACAGCAGCAGCAGCACCAACAACAACACCAGCAGCAACAATACAACAGCAGCAGCAGCAGCAGCAGCTGCCGCAACAGGAGCAACAATTGCCGCCGGCGAGGAGCAACAGCATCTGGTGACGGCAGCGCCAGCGTCTGCCTATCAACAGCATCAGGCCATCGAGTACATGGGCCAGAACATGTTCATCACGCCCGGCACGCTGCGTCCCACCATGCAGCTGAAGCAGGAGCCGCAGCAGCAGTCGCAGCAGCAACAGCAACTGCAACAGCAGCAGCAGCCGCGGTATTCGCTGGGCGCCCAGCAGCTGATCGATGGGGTTGCCGGCGGCAGCGGCGTTGCCGAGGCGGGCAGCATATTCGTGCAGCAGATCTACGGCGAGGAGCCGGGCAAAGCCGGTAAATTGCTGCAGGCCCATGTTCCGCACTTTAACATTGCCAATCAGCTCGAGTTGTACAAGCAGAAGTACGCGAATATGGTGGAACTACAGGTGCGTATGCAGCCGTAGGCAGAGCCAGGTGCGGCGGCGTTAAACAGCCAAATCACACACGAGAGTTAAAGAGCGAGAGGGAGACGGAGAGAGGCAGAGGGAGAGGGAGAGAGAAAGCTAGAGTAGAAGAGTCTAAAGAAGAAGTAGTAGCAGATGCCAAGGTCAAGCCAAAGTTTTTGCACCCCTTTTCCTTGACTTTGTTGTTCCACTTTCTTTTGTTCCCCTGCGTTTCGTCTAGGAGTGAAAGAGAGAGAGGGAGAGAGAAAGCCAAAAAGCCAGAGTAGAAGTCTAAAGAAGAAGAAGCAGAAGCCAAGGTCTTTGCCCCCCTTTTCCTTGACTTTGTTGTTCCACTTCCTTTTGTTCCCCTGCGTTTCGTCTAGGAGTGAAAGAGAGAGAGCGAGCGAGAGGGAGAAAGCCAGAAAGCCAGAGTAGAAGTCTAAAGATGAAGAAGCAGCAGAAGCCAAGCTCAAGCTAGGGTTTTAGCCCCCCTTTTCCTTGACTCTTTTGTTCCATTTCATTTTGTTCCCCTGTGCTTCGTTTCGTTTCATGTGAGAGTGAAAGAGAGAGAGAGAGAGAGAGAGACAGTCAGAGTAGAAGCCAAAAGAAGAAGCAGAACTCAAGCTCAAGCCAAAGTTGTATCCCTTTTCCTTTTTGTTCCATTTCGTTTCGTTTTGTTCCCCTGTTTAAAGTTTTCTTAGAGATCTGTAGCTACAGTGAAAGCCCGCTTGCGTGTACAACAAAAATTGCTAGGGTATTTCTTTAGCTGCTGTCCGAAATACTTGATCAACTTTTTTATGATCTTTCACATTTCTTTGTTTGTTTCAAGTTTAATAAAAATGTTGCCAAAAAAAAAAAAACAAAAAAAAAACTCCAAATTTTGTTCAAAAAGAAAAAAAAACATCGCTTTTAGTTTGTTTTAAGTTTTCCAATTTTTGAGCTTAATTCATAAATATACCAGGAATACCAGAGGAATACATATAGTTCTTATATATATATATTAGTTTACGACTTGTTTTCCGAATGAACTAAATGTATTTGCCCAATATAAGAACGTGTAGGGTATTAACATGTGCGGCTTTATTTCTTTTATTGAAAGCTGGCGCAGCCAACTTAATAAGCCCTCGCAACAAATTTTTTGAAAATGGGTAAAAAAAAAAGAAGGCTGAGCACCAAAGTCTGGACGTAGGCTACCCTAGAGCATGCACAGGTACAGGGTATTTCAGTTTTTAGAAGAACAAAAAAAAAACAGCAAATATTTGTAAGCAGAAAGTTTCATTTCGAAGAGAAGACTTTAGATTAATCGAAAGAATCGTTAGCTTAGCCCGTTCTTTTACGAAATCGATAAATATCGATTGGGCATATCACGGAGGCTTTAAGAGCTTTACATAGTCTTACATATAGATCGATAGCAAAGTAGTCGCAGCTGGGAAGGCAGCTAGGATGCCTGTCCAGGGTATCTGCAGCACACTCGCTGAACATAACCTCAATTGGCGCAGCGCACATAACCTCACAAATGTTGTTTTGCTTCTTTATTCTTTTTCGCTTCCGCAGTCCGGCGAGGCGAACGATAACAGCGGGTCTGTTACTCTGGCCCAGAACGAGGCCAAGGTGATTGTGGCCGCCGCGGAGCAGCAGCAGCAGAAGCTACTAAAGGCGGGACAGGCGACCGCTGGAGGAGGTGGAGCAAGCGGAGGCGGAGGCGGATCGGCGGCAACAACAACAACCACACAGCAGCTGTACAATCAGCTGCCGTATTTGGCCACGTTCCCGGCCAACAGCAGCGGAACGAGCAGCGCGGGCACAGTTACCGTTACGGGCGCCGGCGGCGCCGCCAACGGGCTGACAGGCAGCACCACAACCGCCTACTATCCCATGTATCACAACGGCTTCCAGCTGGGCATCGGACCGAACACGGTGCCGCCGCCATTCACGCCCGTACACTTTGCGAACGCCAGCGGCGGCAGCAGCCCGACTGCGTCCGGCCAGTACAATATACTGACGACGGCGGCGGGCGGCAATGCCACGCTCACAGTCGGATTGGAGCAGGCGGCGCCGCCTCAGCCGCAGCAGCAGCAGCACTCGCAGCAGCAGCAGCACTCGCAGCAGCAGCAGCAGCAGCAGCTGTTGCAGGAGTTTCCGAAAATGGGACGCGGTCGTCCGCGCAAGATTAGCCTATTGAGCGCCAACGAGGAACACCTGAAGGCGAACACGCTGCTCGAACAGGAGCTCAACCAGATGCTGGCGGGCAGCGGCATGGGCCAGCGACGCGGCGGACGCGGCCAGTCGCTTGAGCATGGTGGTCACATACATGCACATTCCACGGCCGATGGCGATGGCGTTGTGCCGCCGTCGCCGCTAACGACGCCGCGCCGCAGCGGCGCCAACAAGTACGAAACGGAGGAGGAGAAGCGCATACGGCTGGACAAAATGGCGGCACATCAGCGTGCGGTGCGGGCCAATGAATCGCCCGAGCAGCGCACAGTCCGACTGCAGAAGCTGAGCGAACGGGCGCGCCTCAAACGCGCCCAAATCCGCGCCACCGAGAACACGGAGGAGCGCAAGGAACGCCTCTCCAAGCAGGCCGAATATGCCCGACTGCGACGCATGCGCAGCCATACGCCGCGCACCAGCAGCAGCGCCAGCGCCGAGTTCCATGCCAAAACCGAGGAGGAGGACGAGGAGGAGACAACCGAACAGCTCTACGACAATGACACCGACGGCGGCGGCGGCGGCGGCAGCGGCGTCGGCGCCGGCAGCGACAGCTTTGTCGTCAAAACGGACTCACAGCTAGACGGCGACGGATCCAATGATCAGCAGCTCGCCGCCCTCCATCTCCAGCAGCAGCTGCAGCAGCACGAGCTACACCAAATGGCGGGCACCCTCCAGCAGCAGCAGCAGCATCACGAGACGATTGTCATCAATCAACAGCAGCAGCAGCAGCAACAGCAGCAGCAGCAGCAGCAGCGATTGGTCAGCCTCGGTCAGCATCAGCAGGGCTACAGCAAGCTGCAAGCCTCTGCCGCGGCCGGCGCTAACGCGGGCAGCGGCAGCGGCAGCGGCGCACCCGAAAATAATGATATGCTTAAGATACTCGAACCGATAATTGTTATGAAAACCAAATGAGTATCGCGAAAGCGCCACGGTGGGCCCACAAAAAGCTAGACAGACTACACATATATGTCTATATCTATGCATATATACAATATCGGTCACATCGGTCTACACATACATATACACACATATGTATATCATCTGGCTGTGCTTTGGGCTATTGTTGGCGCTGAACGCGCGCTGCAGCGTGCAGAAAAATGTTGGATGGCAACGAAAAAAGAAAAAAAAAAACAAAAAAAGGAAAAAAAAAAAAACAAAATCTCGTCTGGTCAACAACAACAACACACACACACATTATCCCCCCTCCCGCCCTCACACACACACACACCCACATTTCTTGTAGCATATAGAATATTTCTGTGTATTGAACGCGTTTGTACAAAGTGAGAGCAGAAGAGAGCGTGAGAGCGAGAGAGCGAAGAGCGCGAGAGCGAAGAGCGCGAGCATGCGAAGAGAAAAACGAAAAGAAAAAAAATGATATCCTTAAGGCGCGCGCGTTCTATTTTTAATTGCTAAACTAAAAATATGTATATATACATATAATATATATACATATAAAACTAATTATATACAAATATGCATCTGCTATATTTATATATGTATGTGTGTATTGTATTTGTGTTTACATTTGTCTTATATTTTTTTTTCTCGATTTAAATGAACATAACTGTTTAACTTGTATGCGTACTTTAAGGATAGTGCAATAGCTATTAAAAACAGAGAGAGAGACAAAGCTAGAGAGAGAGCGAGCGAGCGAGCGAGATATAGAGTGCAATAATGTATTGTACATACAGCTGAATATGTATAAAGCAAGCAAGCCATCATATCCATCATATACATACGATGATGGCCAACCAAAAACAAAAACAAAACAACAAATTCAAGAAAACTAACGGAACAGTGTAAGAAACGAAACGTAACAAAACGCACCGACACAATGCAAGCAACACAAATACACACACACACAATCACTCACACACGCGCATGCATTAACTTTTCAGCTAGAAGAAGAAGAAAAATACAACAACAAAAGAACACAACAAAAAAAAAAAAGAGAAGAGAAGAGAGAAAAAAATGTATGAGCATGTATTTGCATCTAAAATAGGTTATAGAAATTGTAACTTTTTTGAATTTTTGAAAGTGTAACGGTCCGTCAACAGTTGACCGCTTAACCATTTTTTATGTAATGTATTAAGCAACAAACAAGAAAAGAAGAAAACAGAAAAAAAAACTAAAATGAACAACTAAGCCTAAATAATTCATAATAACAATTTGTAGCCCATAACAAAAAAAGAAAACGAGCACTAAGTAGAAAGTACGTATTAATTTTTTAAAGTAGCGAAAACAAAATAAATCTAATAAGAGCGCATTAAGAGAACATTCTGCCAATCGATAACTAACTGTTGAAAACCAGAGTGACCAGAGTGTGCACATTCGTTTCATTTTGCGGGATTTTTTTGCTGCTGTTCTATATGGCAAGCATCATGTTCAAGACGCTGCACAGCGTGGACACCGAGTACTCGGCGGATTCGGTCGAATGGTGCGTCCAGGATGAACGGCATGCGGATTACTTTGCCTGCGGCACATATCAGCTGATGGAGGGCGAGCAGAATTCGTTGCGCAAGGGTCGCATCTATTTGTATGCGTTCGCCAGGCATACGGGCGCCCTGGAACGGCTGCAGTGCATCGAAACGGCTGCCATATTGGACATGAAGTGGCTGCCCGCCTATTGCAACGACTCCGGACCGCTGCTAGCCACAGTCAACGCCTTGGGCCAGCTGGAGATCTACGAGCTGCACGCGGATCACCAACTGCAGCGTCGCGCCCAACTGACGCTGCCAGAGAATACGAAGCCAGCGCTGGCGCTGGCCCTCGACTGGCGGCCTGCGGCCGACGGCGCTGGCCTGCAGCTGCTCGTCTCCGACTCGCTGGGCCATGTCCATCAGCTGCAGTACACGGCGCAGGCTCAACTGAGCCAGCTGTGCGCCTGGCAGGCGCACGGCTTTGAGGCGTGGACGTGCGCCTACGATCGCTGGTCGACGCAGCGCATCTACAGCGGCGGCGATGACTGCCTGCTGCACGCCTACGATTTGCGCAGCGGCAGCTCGGAGCAGCCAGAGCGCATCTGGACAAATAAGGCGCATGGCGCCGGCGTCACCTGCCTGCTCAGCCATCCGGAGCGGGAGCATCAGCTGCTCACCGGCAGCTACGACGAGCTGTTGCGTCTGTTCGATACGCGCGCCATGAAGCGCAGTCTAGCCGAACTGAATCTGAACGGCGGCATTTGGCGGCTCAAGCCGCATCCACGGCGCAGCGATCTGATCCTGGCCGCGTGCATGTACAAAAACTTTAGCGTGCTGCAACTGAGGGACTCGGCGCTCAGCCTGCTGGGCGCCTATGAGGAGCACTCGAGCATTTGCTATGGCGTCGATTGGGCGCCAAGCATCGATGAGCTGGATCATGGCCAGAGGCTGCACATGGCCACCTGCTCCTTCTATGATCACAAGCTGTGCGTCAGCAGCGTGGACACCAAATTCGAGATGTGATCTCGTTAACCAGCTAATTAGCACGCACCGCTGACACACTTGATGACCCGTCATGCTGGGTGTCTTGCAGGACACGCTGCATGACTTGTCAGCAACGTGGTCTTTGACCCACTCAAATAGTCTTGTTACTATATAAACATTTGTGACTCACCTGAATTGGATTTGTTGCGGATCTTAAGCCGTAAACTTGCACTTACTATAAACATATTATATTTTATATAAATATTTGATTTGATGTACATATTTTATGGTAGCTGTCAGATGTGCTACTAAAGTCCTGCTGTCAGTCGAACGTCAGCTGGACTTTATTTGACGGATCGTCCATGACATGATTGGTGACAGGTCTGCGAGAATGTCATCAAGCAACAAAGAACGAATGACATTCTCCTTCATACATATGACATCGCGCATTTCAGCCATGTTTGTGTATGTCGTCGAGGACGAGATATCCGAATGGAGTCAAACACCACAAAATTTAAATCAAGATTAAGAATATGTCTGCAAAGATGACCCCCCCCCCCCCCCCCCCCCCCCCCCCCATACAGTTGCAGGCTTTTTCAGCAATGTTGGAAATGCTTTTTGAAACAAATAAATACGTTGCATGTGCCGTTGCATTTGCATTGCTTCATTATATACCGTTTCGTCCAAACGCAGAAGGTATTAAAAAAATACTGAATCGATAACTTTTGGTGGAGTGCCGTCTGCGCGCATGCATCGAAATTTATCGGCAAGTTGCGCTGTGCTGTCGTCATCGAACGTAGCGCGTTTCCAAAAAAAAAAAAAAAACTTCACTTTCAGGATTTGTTCGTGTGTGAAAGAAAAGAAAGAAAGAAAAAAAATGGCAATTATGACTAATAAATTGGCACAAATTGCCAATGATCTGCATGAGATGCAGCAATTGATTACCGATACGACCGACTATCTGCAGGAGATTGGCGACGCCATCGACAAATGGAAAACTGATTTGACCACGACCGCAACTGTTTACGAATACAAAGGCAAACTGTCCGAGCTAGTCCTGGGCCTGGAGTATATACATGCTGAGCAAAGCAAGCTGCAAGCCGAGTTTAAGGATATCGGTGCGTCACTTTATTTGCATTACTTTTCGTATTAAATCTATTTTTATTGTTTGCGGCTTTAGAAGAGGGCAAGAATATTGCGGCCGTGTTGCCAGAACTGAAGGAGAAATTCCAACAATTTGGCTGCCAACTGTTGCTGGATCAAGATGCGCAGCAGAACATCCTCTATACGTTCGATTTTGGCGAAGGACGCTGCATTACCGTCAAAGAGCTGAACTTCCAATGGTCCCTTGTGGAGTGCACTGCGCAGATTCTGGACTTCAATACACTCAATGCATATTTAAACAATTCCCAGGATGTTATTGGCCTGCTAGCTGTTGTCCAGGAAATGATATCCACAGCCACATACAATTAAGCTAGCATATGCATATTTATTGAATTTATACACATCCACATTGAATGCTCAAAAATGTTCGCAATTCCTTAATCGAATGCATAAACCAAATGTACAATCTGTTGTGCAACATCAATTGTTCACAGATTATAGATAATTTAGGATTAATTTCGAATATGATATCAACTCGATGTACGATTGATTGTTCCTATAAATAAGTAGCTGTAATATCTGCCTTTGCAACTGACAAAGCCCTCAGCCCTCTGCCCTAGGGCATATTTGCGGATCTCAGTTTGGAGATCAGGCAAACTTTTGGAGCATTCGGCACGCCGACTAGCTGCCCTATCAAAGGGATGCGCCTCCGCAGGGCAACGATCTATCATCATTCAAATAGACTATATATATATATATATATATATATATATGTATTTGTAATATTTAATTGTGCACATATTAATTCATATATTTGTTGCATTATCTAACGCCTGGTAGAGTTCAGAGCTGAACGATTCCAGAATTTCAATTCATAAATTGATTTATAACAGAGCCCAAAATTCCTTACAATAAGATATATAAAATGTTATTATTCGTTTAATGAGACTTTTCTCAAATGAAAGTTTAGATAGTTCAAGCACCTCATAAATGTTCAAAAAATAAAAAATGCATTTGTTTTTTAGTATGCGGCTAATTTTGTAATTTTTATAAAATATGTATGTATATATATACACAATATATATATATATATATTATATATATGTTGATATATATACTATATATTTTAGTTATCACACGCTCTGATCTATTTTCATATATTTTTTTTTTCTTTCTCTTTCATCTCTCAGAATAACAAGATGTTAACAACGCCCAAACGCCCCTCCAGAACTGTCCACTCGTAACATTTGCATGGTCGGTCTACGCGGCGACCACATTCTGTATCCAATTCAAGGCGCCTCGGATGCGACGTAGACGCGCCCGCACCAGGAAGCTGCAGATGAGCAAATACTCAACATAGGCATGCCGTCCGCCCGACGGCTGGCAGCTGCTGGCATTGCCGCCCGGCTGTGGACGGCCCTCGCACATGATCTTGGTGGTCAGCGAGAGAAGCCACTGCAGGATCTGTAAACAGATAACATTTATATATATGAGATCATATTCTTAGTGTTGCTGTTGCTGTTGTGGCTCTCACCTCGGGACTGTTGGGCATGCCGCCAGCCTTGAGCCATTTGGATGGCGCCCAAAGGAAGAGCTGCAGCACATTGGCCGCAATATCGGGACTGACACGCTTCGATGGATTCGGATTAAGTATATTGTAGATGAGCTGCTGCAACAGCGGCGGACACGTATCGCACAGTGGCGGCAGCTGCTCGTGCCGATAATCGCAGTTTCTCAACGAATAGGTGAGCTCGCCCTGAGCACGCGCCATGCCGCCGCTGGCCGAATAGAAGGGATTCGGTTGGCCAAAGATCTCGTAGGCCAATGCACCGCACGCCCACAGATCCGCTTTGCTATAGTTGAGCACGGCAAACGGACCGGGCTGCGTATTAAAGATCTCTGGCGCCATTAAGGCCGCATTGCCGCCCTTATCAATATCATTGGCGGCATACGGCAGACGCAGGCCATGCACCTTGTCCGCCAGACAGCAACCGAAATCGGATAGCACCAGCAGCGGCGACTGATCATTCGGCTGCAGTTCAATGAGCACATTGTCCGATTTAAGATCACGATGCGCGACACCGTGCCGACTGAGATGTGTGACCGCCTCGAGCATTTGGGCCAAGAGCAGGATTTTGGTGCGGGAGCTCAGCTCATTGGCATCCAGCAGGCCGCGCAGACTATAATCGTAACGTTTCATTAGCAAATATAGCGACATATTACGACCATAGCCCTGCGGATTGATGCGCTGCGGCTGAGCGATCGGATAGAGCAGATGTCCATCGGTAAAATTGCGCACCTCATCGCAAAAGAAGCCAAACATACAGACAACATTCGGATGGGGCGGCAGCGTCAATGTCTGATGCTGCAGCAGGCGTTCCCATTCCTCGGCGCTGGCATTCATCCGTCGCTGACGCGCCGGCACCGTCTCCTTGTACATGGCGCGCAATATGGACAACGCATTGCTCTGTATATCATAGTTGAACATCATTTTTAAAGCAAGTGGATAGCGCTCAATGGAGCTACATGCGGTCGCATTCAGCTCCTGCTCCCGCTGTTGCTGCTGCTGCTCCTGCTGCGTGTAATCGCTGGTTGCCGTTCGGTGCTCCTCCTTGGGCTGGCCCGTTTGGGCGCCAGTTGTTGCCAGACCATCGACGAAGGCGGCGGCAGCCGTTGGCTGACTGTAGCTGTAGATGTTGTCAACGGAGCCGCCAAAATTGTGCACAAAACGTGACATATTTTGCAGCGGTGACATTAGCTCATGATGATTCCATGTGTTGCTTTTGTTGCCAGCCGCATTCGGACGTGCTGCATCCGCGGCGCTGGGCGTGCTTTGTGTTTGTGCTGTTGCGGTATTCTCCTTGAAATTGGCCGCATAAACAACGGCCGCACAGCCCTTGGCAATGGGCGGACCCACCTCCAGTTGATCAATATTGAAATTGCTGGTCAACGTTTCGGATATCTCGTCATGGTTCCAGGCAGCCTGCAGGCGACTGGCCGCCTCGCGTATCTCCCAGCACACGCCCTCCAGCTCGTCCTCTTTGCTTAGGACACCCGATCCGGTCGCCAAGCTGACGCCGATTAGTGCAAAAAACGGCGCCGAATCGCCATAGAATAGCTTGCGTGTGGCACGCTGACGCAGCTCCTCCGAATAGTTGGTCGTCACACGGCTCAAGATGTTGTCGATGAACAGCTTGCGCGCATGCTGTCCAAACCGAAAGAGTCCGCCGTTCGCTGGGCTGGCCGCCGCCGACGCCGGGCAACAACGTGGCAACACATTAGCCGCCGGCTGTGGTGCGGCTGTGTTCTGCAAAACAATAAACCGATCTGTTCAATGAACATATTGTATTTGTGCTACGATGACACTTGCCCTCAAATTCTTGACCCTTTCAATCACAAGTCAATCACAGTCAATCGTATTTTTATTGAAATGTTTGGCAAATCTATTTATGGATGTGCCCTTTTTTCGGATCTTGTTCAACTGATTGACTGACTGACTGATTGACTAACTGACTGTCTGATTGACGCACAGCCCGAGACGTAAGAGCTGGGCTGGATTTCCTTTGAGATGAAAGTCTACACTTGAATCATGACCCTTTCAATTGCAAGCTTCAATCATGTTCAATCACAGTCAATTTTTTCTGATATCGTTCAACTGATTGACTGATTGCCTGATTAGGTTAGGCTAGGCTAGGCTAAAAAAGGATTTTTTTTGTCTATTATTTCTAAATGTACAACTCTTTATCCAGATTGATTGATTGATTGACTGACTAAATCACTCAAATTCAAAAGAGCATAGCCTAATTTTGGTGAGTCCTGCGACATTTCTCTATACAAGATTACAAAGTTTCATTTTCGAGTGACTTCTGGTTTCCATGTTTAAGATCTCATTTTGTAATTGGGAAAAATACTTGGAAAAATGTCTATTAAACATAGAAGAACTGCTGATTTGCAACAATTAAATACACTCGATATTTCAGGATAACAAGATCTCGTTACTCACTCGCACTTGCGTGTGTGAGCGCAACAGGTCTATTGCTGTCTCACTCTTCCTGGTGTAAATTTGCACTTGTGCTCAGTATGCTGTTTACAGTTAACAAACGGCAAATGTCATGCGTAGCATAATTAAGGGGCATCCACTCACCCGCAGAACATTGACGGATGTTAGGGGAAAGCCTCGCTTGCTTCGTGTCTTTAAATGGCTTTGTTCCAAAATGTTGGAGTGTATTTCACGATTCCAATAGCTTCGTAGAACGTAGCGACCATGTTTAACCAGTCGCACGGTTAACAGTCTTACAGACATTTTACCAACTGCAGTTCGGGCTTATTTGTTGTTGTAACCCGGACCAACAACAGCCGCACCGATAAACAGTAACGGAGCGAAAAGCCTAAAGAGTGAAAGAGTGAGAGAGAGAGAGAGATGATATTTATTACCGTTGCTTGCCATATTTGCAATATGCTCACCTTTTTATTTTGTCTGGCCTACGCTTTCGTTGCGTTTTCGTTGTCCTTGTCGCTGTTGTATGACTGCGGCGCCACCTTTTGTCATGCGCTTCAGTTGTGATCGTCGGCTATCGATATATCGATTGTTGGCTGCCTCGACTGACGATTGTTTGGTATTGCGTCGTAGAAATAGCCGTCGTCACTGCTGTTGTTTTTTGTTTTTTTTTTTTCGATATTTATTTATAAATATATACGTATGCACATAACTACACAGTCAATATGGTAATGGTTTCGAAATTAAAATGTCTTCAAACTTGTTCTCAATATTTTTTTTACAATGTGTATGGAAGTTTCGATTTTGTTCTATGGTCAGGGACTGATAATTTTTGAAATTTAACTCGCCTCGTTGATTGATTTTCCGGCTGCCACTTTGTGTACGTGTGTGTGTGTGAAACTGTTCGTGTGTGTGTGTGTGTGTTTTTTTTTCAGTTCATGTACGTTCCGTTGTTAACAATTTGTTAAACATCGATATTATTAATGGTTGTTTTTTTTGCGGTTGGGTTTTTGGTAGCAAATTAGATAATCACATCTACCACATATAGTTGCACCTTTAAGCACTCAGAAACCGCTCGCAAAACGTAATTTTAAATAACAAAGCAGAAATGAGCCAGAAATGTAATTTTTTTTAGCACCAGACTTTGATTTTGCGTCAATTTATACAATAAAAACAATGAGAAATTTACAAACACAAACAGCTGTCAGTTTGTTGCGCAGAGCTGCAACATGGACTAGCATCGATAGTAATCGATTGTTTGCTAATCGCAACGTTACTAAAATATATCGATAGGCCTTTCACTGATGCAACTTTATGAGGTTTATTCAAATCGTCGATTTGAAAATACACAAGGTGATCGACACATTTATTTGGGACCCAACATCTTCTTGGGATCGACCCACTCCTTGAACTGCTCCTCGGTGACGCCAGCCTTGATGGCCTCCTCCTTGAGCGTGGTGCCATTCTCATGCGCCGTCTTCGCTATCTTGGCTGCCTTGTCGTAGCCAATGTGCGGATTTAGTGCGGTGACCAACATCAGGGACTCGTTCATGATCTTGGAAATACGCTCACTATTGGGCTCGATGCCCTTCACACAGTTCTTGCTAAAGTTGACGCTGCCATCCGCTGCAAATGGATACGTGGTTTGAGTGTATGCAACTGCAGATGCCCTACACAATTTGGCCGATTACTCACCGAGCAGGCGTATGGATCGCAGCACATTGGAAACAATCAGAGGCTTGAACACGTTCAGCTCGAAGTGTCCATTGGCGCCGCCCACTGTAACGGCCACATGGTTGCCCATGACCTGTGCACAAATCATGGTTAGAGATTCGCACTGTGTGGGATTCACCTTGCCGGGCATTATAGAGCTGCCCGGCTCGTTCTCTGGCAATTTGAGTTCACCGAGACCGCAGCGCGGTCCCGATCCCAAAAAACGTATATCGTTGGCAATCTTCATCAGGCTGACGGCAATGGTGTTCAGCGCGCCGTGCACCTCGACCATGGTGTCGCGCGCAGCGAGTGCTTCAAAGAAATTGGGTGCCGTCACAAACGGCAGGGACGTTAGCTCCGCGATGCGGGCCGACACCTTCTCGGCAAAGCCCTTTGGCGCGTTGAGGCCGGTGCCAACGGCTGTGCCGCCCAGGGCCAGCTCGTAGACGTGCGGCAGGCAGGATTCGATGCGTGCGATAGCATTGGACAACTGCTGTGCATAGCCGCTGAACTCCTGGCCGAGTGTCATGGGTACTGCGTCCATCAGATGGGTGCGACCGATTTTGATGATGTCCTTGAAGTCCAGCGATTTGCAGACAAGAGCGTCGCGCAGCTGCGAAATGGCGGGCAGCAGGCGATTGTTCAGCTCCAGGCCGACCGAAATGTGTATGGCCGCCGGAAAGGTATCGTTGGAGCTCTGCGACTTGTTCACATGATCGTTGGGATGCACCGGCTTCTTGGAGCCCAGTTCGCCGCCCATTGCCTTGATGGCCGCATTGCTGATGACCTCGTTGGCGTTCATGTTCGTCTGTGTGCCGGAGCCCGTCTGCCAGATGACCAGCGGGAAGTGACCTTCGACATAGTATTTGCCCGAAATGACCTCATCACAGGCAGTGGAAACGGCATCTGCTATCGTGGCATCCATGCCAAAATCCTTGTTAACATCCGCACAGGCCTTCTTCAGTATGCCCATGGCCTGAATGACGGGTTTCTGGGAAAATTCGGGTTGGGATTGAGATTCGGATTGGGCTTGGTTAGGGCACAGCATGCCATCGATTCATAGTTACCGGCATGCGCTCGGCAATACTGCCAATGGGAAAATTGAGAACCGAGCGCATCGTTTGCGCACCGTACAGCTTGTCGGACGGCACCTGAAGCTCGCCAAAGGTGTCCCGTTCTACACGAAATTTATCATCCTGCAAATGTAAGGATCAAAACTGGCAGCTATATGCTGTCCGATGGCAACACTCACGCCCTTCGGCTTTTTGCACTGAAGCAACAGCGTGGTGCCGACACGCCGAAAGCTGGCCAGGATCTGGCACGGCTGGAACATAGTCGGTTGCTGGGCGCACAGCATCTTCACCAAGTGCTTATTGCTACTGCTACAAAATAGATTAACGAATTTTGTTGCGTATTTTGAGATTCGAACGAAAAGTTAATTTCCAAAGAGTTGCTTTTTATTGTGGCAGCTATTTTCAACTGAACAACAAACTTGATACATAGTCGCCAGCTAGCCTGGATAGCCAGACGGTTTTGGCAGGGCCGACTTGTTAGCCAAACGGATGGTGCGCGTCTATTTGGGGCCCAGCATCTGTTCGGGTCGCACCCAATCGTTGAACTGCTGCTCCGTCAAATAGCCCAGATTGATGGCCTCCTCCTTGAGCGTGGTGCCGTTCTTGTGCGCCGTCTTGGCTATCTTGGCCGCCTTGTCGTAGCCAATGTGCGGATTCAGTGCGGTGACCAACATCAGGGACTCGTTCATGATCTTGGCAATGCGCTCCTTATTGGCCTGAATGCCATTCACACAGTTTGCCGTAAAGGTGCGGCTGCCATCGGCTGCAAACCGAAAAACCAAACAGTTCAGAGAGAGAGAGAGAGAGATTGGCAGATTGGGGCAGAGAGTACTTACAGAGCAGGCGTATGGAGCGCAGCACATTGGACACAATCAATGGCTTGAAGACGTTCAGTTCAAAGTGTCCATTGGCGCCGCCGATTGTGACAGCGACCTGGTTGCCCATGACCTGGGCGGAAAGCATTGTAAGGGATTCGCACTGTGTGGGATTCACCTTGCCGGGCATTATGGAGCTGCCCGGCTCGTTCTCTGGCAGTGAGAGCTCACCGAGACCGCAGCGCGGTCCCGAGCCCAAAAAGCGTATATCGTTGGCAATCTTCATCAGGCTGACGGCAATGGTGTTCAGCACGCCGTGCACCTCGACCATGGCGTCGCGTGCGGCCAGCGCTTCGAATTTGTTGGGCGCCGTCACGAAGGGCAGTCCCGTCAGCTGGGCTATCTTGGCGGCGCACTTCTCGGCGAAGCCCTTGCGCGTATTGAGTCCGGTGCCGACAGCTGTGCCGCCCAGGGCCAGCTCGTAGACGCGTGGCAGGCAGGCATCGATGCGCTCCAGGGCGTAGGCCAGCTGCTGGGCATAGCCGCCGAATTCCTGGCCGAGTGTCAATGGCACCGCGTCCATTGTGTGGGTGCGGCCAATTTTGATGATGTCCTTGAACTCATTCGATTTGGCGGCAAGCGCATCGTGCAGCGTCTTGATCGCCGGCTTCAGATTGTTGTTCAGCTCCAGTGCGACCGAGATGTGTATGGCCGTCGGGAAGGTATCGTTGGAGCTCTGCGACTTGTTCACATGATCGTTGGGATGCACTGGCGTCTTGGAGCCCAGCTTGCCGCCCATCAGCTCAATGGCACGATTGCTGATGACCTGCCCAAGGGAACGCAATGATTACGACAAATGAAACAGACTGGAGACTTGGTTAGGGCCTTGGCTAAGCCCAGCTTCACCTCGTTCACATTCATGTTGCTCTGGGTGCCGGAGCCAGTCTGCCAGATGACTAGGGGGAAATGGTCGTCGTACAGCTTGCCGGAGATGACATCGTCGGCGGCCTTCGAGATGGCCTCGCTCACCTTCTGGTCGAGCCCAAACTCCTTGTTGACCTCGGCGGCGGCCTTCTTCAGGATGCCCATGGCCTGGACAACCGGTTTCTGCAATACGAAAACAATCGATTCCCATAAGGATCAATGGTTGGCAGGCAGCTCATCATGCTTACCGGCATGCGTTCGGTGGCACCGCCAATGGGAAAGTTAATCTGGGAGCGCATCGTCTGGGCGCCATAGTATTTGTCGGCGGGCACCTTCAGCTCGCCAAATGTGTCGCTCTCCACGCGAAAGTCCTGCGATGCCTGTCAACGATAACAACGATGGAATTTTCAAAGGACTCTCGCCATACATGGTATTATCTATATGTATATATTCATATTATATGCCTGATGCTGACCATTCTGTTCGACTGAGAATCTCGTTATGAAAATGATTTCGACTGCGATTGCCAGCGGCTCCGTTGGGTGAATGTCGGGCGAATCAGATAAGTCGAGCCAGCCGGGGCCATAAAATACAGCTAAATGCCGACGCAAGAGCTGGCTCAACAAGTACGGCATGTTTGTTGGCTGCGTCAGCCCGACCCTCGGATGCCCTACACTCGCGCCTGGCCAGTGCAAGAGTTCAATTCCGATTTGACTTTTCGAAATCGAATTCGGGCCCGTTTCAGACTTTCATATCGAAAGCGAAATGCTTTCAATGAACCTTTATTTTGACTCCGATGACTCAAATATATAGTTTGTTTAATGATTTTTGTGCTATTCAACAGATAATTGTAAACGAACCGTTTTGTCTGCTCTTTGAGCTACTGATTCGGTTCACTGTGGGAACAAAATTGAAATTCCTTGAGCGAACCGGTTCAAAAGGAATTGAAGACAGCCCTGTCACATTCTGGGATATTTGCATTTAAGCTGCTTTTCGCATTTGTAACAATTTATTCAACATATTCGGAGCTTTAATTTGCTTTGGCCAATTGCCGTTGCAGCTGCAGGGCATACGAAGTGCCGGAATGCCGAACTCAAGACTCGCGACCCACGGGGCGCGCTTTCTGCTTCTCGGCTGCGCGAAGTCTGCCTTTCTGTGTGTGTGTGTGTGTACATGACTGTGCGCTAATCTGTGCACATGTGTGTGTGCGCGAGTCTTTTACATTTTATATGCCGCTGTGTGTAAACAAGCCACGAGCAAGTGCTAAATTTAAGACGACCGAGTAAAATAAAAACAACAACAATTCGCGTGGGAGAGATTAGAACGCAGCATGCGCCCAACTAACGAGCAACGGTAGTTAGTGGATGCCAATCGGTGTGAATGACAGGCTAAATACAATTCACACGGCGGTGCGACAATCCTTCTCCAACCTCCAATTAGAACATCAGTCAGATACAATTAACCGGTTTGCATTGTCAAAATACCTGAATAATTGCCAATATGCTTGTGTTCATGTGCGCGCATGTGTGTATGTGTGTGCGTGTGTGTGTGTCTGTGTAAATTGCTGCCTGGGCCGGTTTTTGCGCAAACTCAGTGAAATCGGTGCAAAAGAATATATGTATATATATATATATACCTTTGTAGAGAAATCAAAATAATGTATGTAAACATATTACATATGTGTAGGGTGTTGACGACCTCGAATACCCTGTACAAAATCATTTATGGTAGTTATGCACAAGGAATATCCTAAAGATTTCGATTTAGATAAGATGCATATTATATATATAGTAAACAATCAGTAATACAAAGGTATTACAAGCTTTGACCGATTCACAAGTTCTTATTTGAATTTCTACTTAATTTTCCACCCATTTTACGCTAGCTTTTGTGAAATAAACATTTACCGATTATTATATCTGGTGAAATGGTTTAAATATTCAAATATTGTGCTGTGTGTTAAGTTACATTCGGTGCAAAAAGTATTTTCCTTTTATTAAAACGTAATTTTTGAAGTGGGACTATATAAATTTACATTGAGCATTTATCAATCAATACTGGTTGTACTTTTTGTCGAGAGATTACTGTAATACAATAATTTAAAGACATTACTGCACTTTTTTTTTTTAGCTTATCAATCAAGCACAGAAATACAATTTAATCAATTGTGAAATTGGCGCAATTCCAAGCAAAAGGACGAGTCTAATTTGATTTGAACAGCTCTCTGTGTCGCCATTTTGTCTAATTGGATCCGTGGTAGATAAGCTGCGCAAAGCAAATGTGTGCCTCTTATTGGAATGGTGCACAACTTGTTGAAGTATTTGCCGTTCGATAGTGGGCGTGTTACCAAATTGAAAGGCCACTTCTTTAGCACGGTTTAACTATTTTCAGGATCCGTCTCATATAACCACTCCATATTTGATTGGTATGCTTGATTATGAAATGCCGGCAATGGCCACAGCAATGGTTCCAATTGGAAGTATCTGCAGTTCATGGGTGCATACACATATATGTATGTGTGTGAGTGCATTTAGAGAGGATTGTTGCCGATTGCAGCTCATGAACTTTGCATGTTTATGGCAAGCTGGCCAAAAGCGGCAATGCAGGCCAGAATAGAAATGCAAATTACATAAGCGCACATTCCACGATAAATCTCCTTACCATGCGAAAACTGCACGCTGCGCTCGCCCATGGCTTGGTCAGCTGTTGAACGCCACGAAGCGTGGAGCGCTGCAAAAGCGGTAGCACCATCTTTTTAATATATAGAAAATGTTAAATACAGCAATTGCAAACAGAAATAAAGCCGCGTATATTTCACTCGCTCTCAACTAGCGGGACCAGGCTGGCAGCACAACAAAAACAATAAGTGCGATAGGCGATAATTATGTTTGGAATTGTATATCGATAGGTGCAGTCATCGTATTGAGCAATTTAATAGAGATGCGCACCATTCGTAAATATATATTCTTTTTATTTTTTAAAAACCAATTTAAGCATGGATATTTTGTGATTTTCTTTTAAAAATAGTATTTTAAATATTTTAAGAGTGATATATGTAAATATTGCGTGACTGCCTATCGTTAAAGCTGTATGCACACATATCGCAAACCGAAACGCTCATCTCTAAGCAACAGCTGTGACTGCTGCCTGCCGAATTGCTGCCAGGCGAGAGCTGGAAGTGTTGTGAATAAATTGTAAATTGAAAAGAAGTTAACGTCATCGCCCACATAATGTCAGCGTTAATGAAATCTCTGAGCCTGGCCAAGAAGCTGAGCGCTGTCAATCCTGCCCTGCAGGCTCACATTGTCCGCAATCGTAAGTGCATTTTGTTGCTGTTGCTGTTTCTGTTTTGTTTACGTAACTTTTGAGATGTTTCAAACAATTTGCATTTCTCCATTTACAGTTGCCGGCTGGAACAAGGACTACAAGCCCGGTCCATATCCAAAAACCGACAAGGAACGCGAGGCCGCTGCCAAGAAATACTATCTACTGCCCGAGGAGTACAAGCCATACGCAGATAACGGTCTGGGTTATGGCGACTATCCCAAAGTTGGCGGTGGCCTTGGCATAGAGAACAAGGATAGTTATTATCCCTATGACTATCCCGAACACAAGCGCAACCTCAACGAGCCCGTAAGCGCCACGATTAAGGCATGCCAAGCACAGATCTGATGCTCTGCTCCATGCTCTCTTTCAGATTTCAGCTGATCACGATCTGTACAGCGAGGATCGCTACTCACAGCCGGATGTTCCACGCTACAGCAACACATACTACTTCACGTGCTTTCTGGGCGTCATGACCGGCTGCCTGGCGCTCTACTATTGGCTCGAGGACAAGAAAATGTATCGTCCAGTGGCCGCCAAGCAGTATCCCGCCGACGGCGTCAAGCACTATACCTTCGAACGCTAGGGACCGCCAGTTGGGATTGCTTGTAGATTATTTTCTTTCTTTCTGTTTTGCTCCGCTCAATTATTGATTGGGCAATTTACCAGCGCATATGTACCATTAAAAGAAAAACTAAATGAAATTGACTTGCGAATTATTTGCTACCAAATCAGAAACAGTGTTGCAAATCGAACAAAACAAAAACAGTGTCGTGGAGCTTTGGTTCACGGCTTGAACCAATGCTTCATTTGGGTTCATTGCGTGAACCGTTTTTTTTTTCTCATGATTTGATGAATTGTTGTTGACCTCCATGACCTCCCACGAATAGCAAAAATCCAGTTTGTTTTTTATCTGTTGCTTTATTTAAAAAAATAGTTTTTTTTTGAACATCTTTTCATTTTTGACAACATAACCTCAAAATTATTAAATGTATTATAATTGCAAACGAAGCTGAAATACAAATGCATATTAATTAGAGATTGAATTAATTTTCAGAATTACTCAAAAACTACAATTAATTCTTAAATATAAATTAAAATCTACGATATGCTTATTAAATAGATGAAACCTAACCTAAAAATCGGTAGAAAAAAAAAATCGCTCAAACTTAAACTGAAATGAAATGCAAAGAAAAAATGAGCGTAGAGAATGACAAAGATTACTCCACTATGTAATTGGGATGCACGACAAGCAGCGGATCGTTTTCCAGCTCATCATCGACAGCTGAGGCCTTGGGACTCTTGGCGAACGGCTTCAGATTGGAGGTTTTCAACGGTATTATGACCTGGTCATGATAGATCAGACGATCGATCAGCTTCTCGATGAGGTTCTTGCGGGATATCAGCTCGTCCTCGGATTCAATTTGTTCGGCAACCTGCTCCAGATACCAGGTAACGACATCGCTGCGCTTCATGCCCGTATCGGTGCCCTCGACCTCGCAGCGCGCCTCCTCGCCGCGCATGTGCAGCACCAGCATTGTCGACAGATTCTTGTAATCCTCAAACGATAACGTGAACTTCTTCTTTTGCATGGCGTGGCCAGATGTATCCAATGCGGCGGCGGCGGCGGCATCGCCATCCACATTGGCAGCCGCACCATTGTTCTCCATATCGATGTCATGCTCGATGCCATCGTCCACATCGAGAGGCTCGTCATCATCCAGATGGATGTCCGGCTGTTCGACCCGTATAATTGATTTGTTGAGCAAACGGAAAGCCTCCTTGACATGACGCTCCTGTACACGATTGGAGCACTCCAGCTTGGCCATGGCCTCGCTCAGCCGTATCATGGACTCCAGCTGGCGCACCGTAATGCGCCAGGTGCTGCGTCCCGACGAGCCCGTGTCGCGCTGCCGCAAATGGCCATAGTTCTCCACCAGCATTTTGCCCGCCTCCGTGCCAATGATGGGCTTAAACTGGCGTGCAAAGGTCACATAACGCAGCACCTCCTCGCGCGTATACGCACGCTCCACGGACTCCTCAATGTTCGAGTGAAGATCAACGATCTTGCGGGCGATCGCATAGTCGACCACCTCGTTGCATTCATCCACCAAAATGAAGAATAGATCAAAGCGCGACATTATTGGCGCCGACAGCTGTATATTCTGCTGCAGACTCTTGGAGCGATCGTAGCGTCCGTTGATGGGATTGGCGGCGGCCAGTATCGAGGTGCGTGCATTTAGCGTGGCCCGGACGCCGGCGCGAGCAATCGATATGGTCTGCTGCTCCATGGCCTCGTGTATGGCCACCTGATCGCGCAGATCCATCTTGTCGAACTCGTCGATGCAGCAGATGCCGTTGTCCGCCAGCATCAGGGCGCCGGCCTCGATCACAAAATCGAAGCTCTCCTCGTCACGGACGACGGCCGCGGTCAGGCCGGCGGCCGATGAGGCCTTGCCCGAGGTGTATATGGCACGCGGCGAGAAGTCCGAGACCTGTTTGAGGAACTGCGATTTGGCCGTGCTCGGATCACCGACAATGCAAACATTGACATCGCCACGCAGCGAGGTCTTCTCCATGGTTGTCTTGGCCACGCCGCCGAACAGCTGCAGGAGTATGCCGCGCTTCACCTCATCGTTGCCATAGATGGAGGGGAATAGGCTGCTGATGAGGTTCTGGTATAGATTACGATCTTTGGACATTTCATAGATTTTCTGCCATTCGGCATCGGTCATCTGCTTCTTCATATCCTCGGCGGTCACCTCGGACATGGGCAGATCGGTGCCGCCGAACCGGGCGGTGGTCGCCTGTACGCTGCACGCCAGAAATGCCATCCGATAGTTGAGCTCACGGACGCCGAGGGCCTTGAGGCCGGTGAGGCCGTCAGAGCCCTCGCCGGGCTTGTGGCGGGAGCCCATTTCGGCCCTGGTGCCCGGCATGCTGAGCACGCTCACGTCCGGCACCACGATGAGTGTGCCCGTGAAATCATAACGATCGCCAGCCTGAACCGTTTCCACCAGCTCGGAGCGCAATATGATCTCGACGGCGCGTGGTATACAGCCGCGCGGCAGCTCCGCCTGCGTCTCCTGTATGCGTATCTTCTGGAAATCAAGGAACAGCGACTTCTCCACGTCCAGCATGAAGCGACGACGATTCGCGCATACGGGATTCCGGCATATGGTCGGATTGGTGAACTTAAACTGCTGCTCAACGTTGCGTATCTCCGTCTGGCAATCGAGGCACATGAATGTGCCCGACACGAGCTCCGGATGCACAGGATGTGTGCGCACCACCTGGCCAGAGATGCGTATGAGCGTGCCAATCTTTGAGGTGGTCAAATCGCGTACTTTATGCCGTGTCGGCACCTCCGTGAAGGCAACGTAGCAATCCTTGTTGGTCTTCAAGCCAATGCGATCCTTAACATAGTTGGAGACAGATTGGCACAAAAACGGATAGACATGATAGTATTCCTCGATGATGGCCGTCGCCAGATTCTGATCGTATTTCTCCACATCCTCGAAGCTAACTTCTAGCGTGCAGCGATCGGGCGACTCTAGATTGGCAGCCGGACGTGTATATTTAATTTCGCCATCCTCTTTGAATTCCTCGAGAAAATCTTGGAACAGCTTCTGGGTGCGTATGCCCACCTCATCCTTGACGCGCAGCTGTCCGATTTGTGCATCAGCAACATCCATCTCGTTCGATTCGTAACCAACAAATAAACAATGTAAGCGCGCAAGAGTTAGTTGTGTTGACTGATGCTATTTACTTAGCCGCCGTTGCGTGTTTTTTTTTTGCCAATTTTCGCGCCTTTTTTGACAACTCGCAGTGACAGTAGCGGCATGTGAGTTATCGATTGTTGAGCGACTATCGGCACATTATACGTGAGGGGCTGCTTGCATTCGTATATGAATGTAGCACGCATGCTAATGTGTATTGTATTTGTTTTATATTCGCCTTGACGTGATTAAAATAGCTATAAATTATATTTTTAGAAATCTAGCGATAAATGCGCGCCAAAAATATTGCCAGACGGTAGCAGTCTGGCAGCGCTGTCAACGCTATCGCATTGTCTTATCGATATCGGGTTTCCATGCAAGTTACCATCGCTAACGCGTGTGAGCTGAGTGCGACAAGGAAATTATTGATTCCGAAATTTCATTAGAGAAATATATTAAATTAGGCCGACTGGATGGAACACGTTTGCTGAACACGCGCTAACAGGGCACAATAACCTCAACTACGTTTGCACAGCAGCTGCGACTGTCAATTGACTTGGGGCCAGCCATCAACCCACCCACACACACACACACACACATAAACAAGCAAGCACATCGCGCGCACCACACATACAGCCAAAATGGTGGACGCTGCCCGACAAATGCTCGATGAGCTAATGGGCCGCAATCGAAATTTGCATCCTTCAGAGGCTGGGCAAGCGGTCAACTGGGAGGATCCAGAGGTAAGTCCCAGCTTGAGCACCAACTGGCTACCATAAACATGCTCTGTGTGATATAATCGCATTTCTTGGCAGTGCTCGCCATGAATAACTTTATGGCCATTTTATTTGCATTTCTCTAGTCTAGCCGGCAAAGCACAGTACAAGCCAAAAGTTGTCGCACAATCTTCAAATAGTTGCAGGCAACGCAACTATTTGTTTACATTTTGTTGTGCTACAACAGAATTCTTGACCATTCCACAGAGCATTCTGCTCAACTACTTGCACTCAAATAATGCTCATTGTTTTTTCATTTTTGTTTATTTTGTAAAGAGTTTATTGCTAACATTGAGTTTTTTTTTGTGCTTTGTCTGTTTTTCTTACGAAACATGTAACATATCAACTATTTAAAGGACTCTATTTAAAAATTGTATGCCCTCTCGAAAATCATATTAATTTAAGGCTACAACTAAATTGATTTTCTTGCAAATCAAATCGATTTACAAAAAAAAAATACATATTTTCGCTGATTCGGTTCACGGTTCAAACCAACAACCCTGCCTAAAGCTTGCCTTTGGAATAGAGAGTCAGAATTGTTATTAACATAACGTTATTTATATTGAAAACATACAAGTGTCGCGTGCGTAGCCCTGGACTGCATGTATTTTGAGCCGAAAGACTGGAGCCCTGCGCAGCCAAATTTTCGTTCTTATAAAGATAAACGACATATTATAACTTTGTTTACTTTTGCACAGTTTTGTCAATTCTACAATGTGAAATTTTGTCCGCACGATCTGTTTATAAATACACGAGCCGATCTTGGTCCTTGCACACGTATTCACGATGAGGAGGCGAAACACCTGTACGAGGAGGCGCGACCATCGCAGCGCAAACGCCATACGGAGGATGAGTTTCTGCGCTTTTGCAATGTGATGCTGCACGATGTGGATCGAAAGATACAGAAGGGCAAACAGCGCTTGCAGCTGATGCAGCGAGACAATCCGTCTGGGACAATGTCGCATGCGGCCAAACATCAGGAGCACATGAGCAATCTGACAGCGCGCATCAATAAGCTGCTCGCCGAGGCCGAGGAGGCGGGCATACGCGGCGATGTTGATCAGGCCCAGGATCTGATGGCTCTCTGCGAGGAACTGAAGGAGGAGAAGGAGTCGGTGCAGCAGCAGTATGAGGCCCAAGTCAAAAACTATCATAAGCTTCGTGCAGCGCCGCCTTCGCAATCGACCACGCCCACGCCGACGCAGACGCCCACGCTTGGAACAAACGCCGGCGAAATATCAAGCAACGATCAGCCGCTCGCCAGTCCCAACATAGCCGGCAGCATTGGCGATGCCATCGCCAGCGACGGCACCGAATCGAATGAGCCGATCGAAGAGCCCGCAGCAGGCGCACCAGCACCTGCACCTGCAGCAACTGGAGGCGGCGCATCGCCAACAGCAGCTGGCATCAATAATGCGTCCGAGGACAGCAAATCGGACACGAAGACAGATACCAAAACGGCGGCCAATTGGTCGCACGAAGTGCTACCCGAAAAGCAAATGAAGGTCTGCGAAATATGCGGCGCCTTTCTCATTGTTGGCGATGCACAGCAGCGCATCGAGGATCATTTGATGGGCAAACAGCATTTGGGCTATTCCAAGCTGCGCAATGCCGTTACCGAAATCAACGAGCGCCGCCAAAAGGAGCACGAGGAGGAGGAGCGAAGGCGTCGCGATGATCGTGTCCAACGCTTCCACAACACCTACGACAACAGGCGGTAAGGCAAACAATTCTGATCAGGCTGATTATCATTTATAAATGCAGCAACAAATGACGAAATAGGCGTCAGAAACTGTGGAAGATCCGCATATATACATATATATATGTCCAGCTAGCACTCTCGACTTGGAAATGATGTGCATATATATATTTGAATGAATAGCTTAGCTCATGAAATACAACATTAACATATTCTCCCTCTCTTTTCAACACATTCATCGTGCTCGAATGCGTGCAGCGATCAGCGTGACTATCGGGAACGCAGTCGAGACTATCCGCCCAATCGCCAATCATCGGACAGGCGGCATCGTAAGTTTGCGCACGGCCCAAAGTCGGACCCAGTTCGACTTTGAATCCAACTGTCTGTCTAATGTTCCGTCTCTTTGCACAGATCACCACAAATCGCATCACGGTCATTCGTATTCGCGCAGCGGCAGTCACAGCAGCAGCGGCAGCAGTCGCAGTCGCCACAATCATTACCGCCACGACAGTCGGGAGCGGCATTGTCGCAGTCGCAGTCGCAGTCGCTACTAGGAGGATACCAAATACGGACGGACAGCAGCAGCAACTACAACCAACAACAATGAGAACAGCAAAGAGCATAAGCATAAGCATATAAACAACAATTTGATAAAGAACAACAACAGCAATAACAACGGCAACAACAACAGCGACAACAACATCAACAAATTAAGAAAAAACCATAACAAACAATTGTAACTAATCGAAAATGCAAGTTAGCTGAAGATGCGCCACACGCAACTCTCTCTTTGGCTATGTGCCACGCCCAATAACGCGCTGCCCCCGCCCCACTCCATGCAGCATCGAGGTACTCCAAATAATAATAACACATTTCAATAATCTGTATAAAAAAAAAAAAAAAATATTAAGATCAGACAGTCTAAAAGGCGCGCATGTGTGTGACACGTGCGAACCTACCAAATATAATGGGACTAGAGGTGAGTTCAACCATATATAAAACCTATATTCATAATCCCTACTCGTACACGTACTCGTAGTCCAACAACAACAACTAAAAAAAAGAAGAGTACTCGTGCTCTATCTAATTTGAATTGTACAGAGACAGGCACAAGTTCTGTCTAATCCTATGGCTACGAAAAAATATCCCTTAAAAAATATATATATATATATATCAAAAAAAAAAAGAAAGAAAATCTCCCAAATTCACATCATAATACACTCCTACGCACACACACACACGCGCGCACAAGCACACACACACACACACGCACACACACACACACGCACACACACACAGTTATTTAGATTAAAAAATTATGTTTGCACAAGACTCGCCTGTTCTGGTGTGTTACGAATTTATATATATATGCATATATATATATATATATATATATGCAGGTGTGTGCGTGTATTGTAAATCGTGTTTCATTTTCACTTGAACCTTCACTCGCAAATTCGATGCCAGGTTGTGCACTAGAAAACCAAGTACCAAATACCGGATGGGGAACGCTGGAATGAAACAAATGATATGTTGGAATGTAAGAAGTTGTCCGCTGCCTAATACTCGAAGGAATGATGAATTGAAACATATGTACATAGATATGTCAGAGAACTTGTACGTGTGCGTGTGTTTTTCGGGCAGATCGCAAAAGGAATGCTGGAATGAAACAAATGATATGTCGGAATGTTAGAAGTTGTCTGCATTTAACACAAAGGCAGCGCTGCGTGCAGCTGATCCGCATAGGAACGATGAATTGAAACATGTGTAAACATCACAGAATTAGTCCGTGTGCGTGTTTTTCGAGCAGATCGTAAATGGAATGTTGGAATGAAACACATTGTTACTGCACCAATTCAGATTCGCCAATTAACATTGTGTTTACTTTAAGCTTGTATTGAATATGAGAAGTGTTCCAATTCCATTTGTTCCAACTTGAATAGTTTCATTTCATGTTTCGCCAACTACAGCAATCCCTCATTCGTTATTTGGTATTGGAAAAAGAAATTTGTTAACTGCACCGGAACAGGCAAAACCCCCAAGAGTCTCTTGTTGCACTTGTCGCCTTGATTGTAGCTAACATGCGAATATATATTTGCATATGTGTATGTGTATGTGTAATGTGTATGTCGTCGATAGCCAGACAGACGGGACAGATGGATAAATACATATGTCAGATGAATACGGAATATGCGGAACAAACCAAAATATTTCTAGTCCTGGGGGTAGTTCCATTTGCACTGATCGATGGCAAATGTATCAAACAATTGGAAGCAGGTTAGTTGCATTTTTAAGCATTCGACAATCGGTTTACGGGCAACAGCATTCACTTACAAGACACACACACACCCACCCACACACACACACACACACACACACACACAACCTACAACTACAAAAAAAAAAAAAAAGAAAGATAATTAAACATCACAGAACGCTGGGAATGAGAGTATCCTTGTTGTACTTGTTATTGGAGATACGTTCAAATTGATTGTACCAGGTATTTACAACTCGACAAAAAAAAAAAAAAAAAAACTAACCTCAAAAAAATATAAAATACAAACTCTAAGTATATGCATATACTATATTATGATATATAATGAAACACCCACACAGATCGCGTTTGCATGGGAATGGCATGTGCTTTGTGGTTCGCAGTTCGCGGTACATGCGAACCAGGGATCCCCGATCCAAACACAGCGTTTTAATTCATTGCCACCCATCAGGGTCAGGGTTGCATTAAGCTTGAATTGTTAACGGTTGATTCGCTCAGAGGTACGTAATCCTCTCGCTCTCTCTCTCTCTCACACACACACACACACACTCACACAAACAAACACACACCTACTTTCTCTCTCTCTCTCTCTCTCTCTCTCACACTTTGCCTATCAATGAATCTCTCCTGTAGTCAATATAGTAGGAGGTGCCTTATTAAATATAACAACAACAACAACAACAACAACAACAACAACATCAAATACATTGAACAGAACCGAAGGCTCGCTGACACGAACAACACACACGAACAGTTGCCCGGTTAACGGCTTTCCGAGACTCGTAAATACGTCAGGTACATTTACTTAAATTAATATTCATGCCTTTTCCAAAATATAAACAATGTTTAACGTAGTTATATTGTCCGTGTTAAATACAAAGTAATTTTTGAATCCATTTTTAGTTAAAATTTAAATAAAAGTCCATTTTATATATATATATTTTTTTTTTTTAAGATTTACAATATATTTATTTATTGATAAATTCTATATTTGGCAAGGGCATAGAGGCTTCGGCTATGCCGAAATTGTTTTCTTGTTAATGAATTAACTGAAACGAAATGGGCAAGAATCAAAAAGAATATAAATAAATATGTGTACACTCAGTATATCTCGAAGTGAGCAACGCGATGATTGAAGCTGTGATCGATATTTGATTCGAGTTCGAATTCGAGTTCGAATTCGAATTCGAGCTTGGAATTCGTTATCGAAACGTTAGACGATCCGAGGATCGAACTCTCGACCAAGAGGTAATTGCAATTGAATTAAAATCTTAAAAAAAAAAAAACAAATTGTACATTTCTTTTAAAGCATTTACTCACATATATAAAATACATATAGTGTATTGCTAGTATATATATTATGTATATCCAATATTCGAGAACACACACGATCTGTAGATAGGCGAGAGCAGGCAGCCTGATCTTTTACGCATTTGTCCCCAAGTCCCGGCTACGAGTCTTGCCCCCCCTAAAAACAGGTAAATTTCGATTATAAACAAAAAATACCTACAAGAACAACAACAACAGTATTTAAATACTAAAATACTACACACATGGTTCGCCCAAGAAAACTGTAGAATTCAAGCAGCTCAGGTCTAAAAGTTTCTATCCAAATGGTTAGCAACATCCCTACCCCTATCCCTATCCTTAGCCCACCCCCCCTACACACACACACACACACACACATACACACACACACACACCACAAACCACTCTCTGTTAAAATTTGCTTTTTATTGGTGGGTTCAACCTAATAATTGCTTAAAAAATAAAAAAAAACTATGAAATAGTCGTAAGCATTAACCAAAATATGCCCATTGTTTATTTTTTTTTCCTTTGTGTGTAAACAATTTACTTACGACATTCGCGTCTATCGTAAATACCTTAAATATTATTATACTCTCATACATGTACCACAAAAAAAAAAAAAACAGATTTTTTTTTTTCTAAAAGTTCACACTCGGACTTTTAGCTCGTAAATACCTCTTATGTGCAGGCCACTGGGCGTATTATTTAATGATATTGAAAAAGAAAACAAAAACAAAAGAGAAAAATATATATGAACGTCATGTTGTATACTAATGCCGTTTTCTTCACATATTGCAGGATCGAACGAATGCGTCAATTGAGAGCGACGAATTTCTCTCGTCAACTGGTTTTTGGGAACGAATGAATGGATATATATATATAAATATATATGCGTGCCAGCGAAGAGCCTACTCCCAGGTAACTTCTATGCCCACAACACCCAGTTATGTTTCTTCAAGACAGACGAAAGCCGCCGAGTGCCAGTCAACGAGCAGCGAGCAGCGAGCAGCGAGTAACGAGTAGCGAGTAACGAGTAACGAGTATCGAGTGACGGGTTCACTATATCTTCCAATCATGTTAACTGTAATAAGCATGAGATACCGAGGTGAATTTCAATTTGTCTCCTTTTATCTCTCTCTTTCTATCTAACTGTCTCTTTCTCTTCCTCCCTATATATATATATATATATATATATATGTATAAATAGCTATACGTATATATATGTATATATATATATATATATAACTATACCTACTCCCGACCTTTTCTTCTCTGTTTCACACACAAACACACACACCTACACACACTTACACACACAACCCAAACAATTGTTAGATATTTGATTTAATTGGCCACGTTGTATCTTTCACAAATTATTGGCAATAATAATTGATATAATGCGTATTTACATATATTGATATATATCTATATATTTATATGGATATATGTATATAGACATGTAGAGAAAATTTCCGGTACTGTTGAGAGCTTCTTTTTTTTTTTTTGTTTTTTTCGGATTGTTTGTGAAGGATAATGCGTCGCCTTTCGTTATGTATTTAGAAAAAAGCAAAAAAACAATATTAATAATAATAATAATATATATATATATATATAATTTAATTTCATTTAATTCGCATACATGAATGTTTGAATACCGAACGAAAAAACTAATAAAAATACATTTAAAAAACGAGAGAAAAAAAAAGAGCAAAGAAACTAAAAAAAAAAAAAAAAAAAAAAAAAAAAAAAAAAAATGTCATTTAATCCAAAAGCGAGTTTTTAATTATTAAACGCATAACTCATATCTACAATAAATATCCATGCAGATACGCGACTTGCAATAATTTTTCATCAAAGCAAATGAGAAGAAGAAAAAAAAAATGCAATATCCAAAACCAAATGCAAGAAAAAATCATAATAATAAAAAAAAAATGAAAAAAAAAATTGCTACAGATTGCGCAATTCGAAACTCTGTTGTTTTTCTTCTATGCGAGAGAGCTTGGAGCTGAAATACTTTCGAAATAATCCAATTTGTTCTTGAGAACTAGATGTTCATTAAAAAGTTGTCGACAAATCGGTTTTACTGAAAGTCGAATCCATTTCGATATACCAGATCTCACGATCGTAACTTATCTGTGCGACTAGTTCCTTTAGTTGTCTGGAGTTAGAGTTCTACGCAAAGATATGCGACATCGGATCTGTTCCTCATGTTGTTTCGAAATACTTATTGAAACATTCAAAAGCTGAGCGAATCACGCTTTGAACCAGCGACTGGTCTTGAGTTTTTTGGTTCGTAATGCTGTTGTTTTTTCTTTCACATCTATTTTTTGTAAAGTTTTCTCTAGACTCGACAACTACAAGGAAAGCTGGTATTGATATTTTGTCCTGGAATGTAGAAGATGACTTCTCAGACTCTTGATCAGAATCAACAGCTGAGTTGATATAGCCTTCCTGTCTTCCTATGAATATAGTCTTTCATTAATGGAACTATCTCAATAAAACGTCGCAACGTCTTTCTGTTACAGAAACCAGCCGGATCGCATCCATATATCATTTAGCTGCCCTTGGAACGAACAGTCGAAAAGTGGGCTCTTTTCTTTTTCACAATATCTTGACTTAGGTCGGCATTTATTAGCTTCACTATTCTCCATTTATATACCGATAAACTATATCATGTAGGATAGGTCGAAAATGACTTGTACTTGTATGGAAAACCTGATATCTGCTTCCTTATGCTCCACTCTATATATGCCAAACCATATCTAGGTTCTTATATGGCAACATGTTCTGTCTTTCGGTATATTTTCATCAAACTCAGCATATACGCAAAGGAAGGGTATTTAATCGTAAGATGTTCTAACTTGGCAGAGAATAAATCGAAAAATGAAATGTTGTCGAGATATTAAAACCAATATCAAGAGCCTTCATCTTAAATATGGACCCTCTTTTCTGTCTTATGTCTGAAAGAGTATTTTTTGTATTTTTCAGTATTTTCCAGTATTTTCTAAAAAAAACAAAGCTGAGACATTTTCTTTTTAGCAATTGTGTATATTTATTGTAATATATTTGATTTGTTTGTATAGATAAGGTATACATACGTATTATAATTTTGTTTTTGCCATTTATTGTATGTACTTGCATTTATAATTAATATCTACAGCAATCTATATGCATAGCGGTATATATATATATATGTATGTATGTATGTATGTATATCAATTTGGTGATTTATCAATATCATATTAAAACGGAATTCTCATCATCTAACAGCATATAAATTCATAATGTTTGAGGGGAGGGGTGACAAATACGTAACGTTTTGTTTTACTTTTAAGCAAATCAAATACAAAATAATATTTATATATATATAAAAAAAAAAAAATGAATTTTTTAACAAATTTTTGTGTAAAATATAAGCATATAGGTATAGGTATAATTATGGGCATAATATATAGATAAATATTTAAAGAACACAAATGTAGAGTGAAACCAAACAAAAGAAAAAAAAGTGGTTCAAACCCGGACGCTCCAATCGGCAATTGAGCAATTGAGATAAATTTTGGCTAACTAACAGTTTACTTTTACTTCTTTTTTGTTTTGTTTTTTTTTTTTTTTTGTTTATTTGCTTTTTACAATTTATACAATTATTAGTTTGCTGGGCAATTTTTAAGAATTTGCTCGTCTTTTGTTCGCTGCACTTTTCACTTAACCTCAATGTTTGGTTTAAAAAAAAAAGTGTGCCCGTAGCAACTGGTTCGTTATTGTTGTTGTTGTTGTTTGGATGCAGTTTTTTTTTCTTTTCGCTTAGATTTCTTGAAAAAATTTCACAGTTATAAAAATTTGAGTGCTGGCAAATGCGCTTTGCACGGATAAACATATATGTTAATACCTAAAAATGTCTGGGTGTGGGTGTGGGTGTGTGTGTGTGGGGGGGGGGAGGGGGTCGGGGGTTGGGCATTTCGAGAAAATGGGACATTCAGCTTGCAGCAGGAATTGTGACTGGTCGATCGGTCGGGCGGGCGCCGGCTCATCATGGCGACGTTCCGTCGCGGGTGAGACACAGCCGGCTGGAGTGGATCGCCTTCCTGGTTGGACAGATGGGCGTCTGCTAGTGACAGTGCTCGGTGACATCGACAATTACCGATTTCTTCCAGCAGAAGAGAAAGTATCCAATGCCGGCGCCCAGCACCACCATCATGCAGAGCCATACGTTGTATGTCATGAAGATCAGCATTAGCAGGAAGGAGAGCGTCACCTGGAGCACGTGCAGCAGCGTCTGGTACAGATGATTGATGGACAGCATTGTCGGTCTGTGTGGCACATAAACACATTTAACAGGCGTTTCAGTTTCGATATCAAGTCAGCCAGATTTTAGCCCCACGACAAGAAAGTATGTGGTATTAGGTTAACATAAACAAAAACAGAAACATAAACATAAATTAACAGAAACAAAATGTACAACAATTTTTGGAGCTTGGTAGGATCTACTAGTTTTAGGTTATTTGCTTTTAATCGAAACAAGTTCACACTTTAAAGAGTTATCGATAAATGTCTATCGATAAATGCGAAAAAACTACTTAAGTTTGGAGAAATCTATGAGTTCTGGTTTATTTGCTTTTAATCGAAACAAGTTCACACTTTAAAGAGTTATCGATAAATGCCTATCGATAACAACTACTTAAGTTTGGAGGAATGTGTGAGTTCTGGTTTATTTGCTTTTAATCGAAACAAGTTCACACTTTAACAAGTTATCGATAAATGTCTATCGATAACAACTACTTAAGTTTGGAGAAATCTGTGAGTTCTGGTTTATTTGCTTTTAATCGAAACAAGTTTTGCGTTTCACACTTTAACAAGTTATCGATAAATGCCTATCGATAAATTCGAAAAAACTACTTAAACGTGCTGCTCTACGAAGAACTGAATGCATCAATACTTTTATTTACAGTGAACGCTGTCTATTAACGAACAGCATGCCTTAACGGATAAGTACACAGTAAATGCATTTGATTTATGGTTAAAATTTACGAATATTCGATTTATTATTTATATATTAAAAATAATGTACGAAATTGTGTTTCAAGAGACTTTTCTCTGTATTTCAAGTAAGCAAAATATCATAGAAGAAGAAGAAGAAGAGTGCCAAGCCCAGGGCTGCACAAAAAATAAAGTGTGGTTATGTTCGACTTTTTCATTAAAGTTAGTTTCTAGGCTCTATCAAAAAGGTTGCAAATTCTGTGAGATTAAGTGTTCCATTTAGTCTAGCTACAAGATTAGTGTGCGAATTGGAATTGCGTTACGCATTAGTGCAAATTGACTTAGTCACTAATTGGTTATTGGACTGATGATATCTGGGTATCAAGTGCTCGTATCAAGGGTATCAAGTTGCGATTTCTCATTCAGCTAATCGGACGCGAGTTCGTTTTAAACGGACCATAAAAAGAAAATGGGGAAAAATAAAAAAACGGATATACTTAAGAGAGATCGTTAATTAGATGTGCAACCGATATATATATATATGTATGTACTATATACGATAAAGGTAATCCGATAATCTAGCTAAATATGTAAATGGAAACGTTTTCAATTATGACTACATTTTCAGGGGGGGCGTGGCTTGGGATACTTACGGTTGTTTGTGCACAACTTCGCCAACGTATCTGGGGGCATGCATATGCACACATACATACGTACGATGCGGTTTTTTGGGGGCGTGTTCACAGTTAACGGTAACGGGTAACGGTTGCGTGTACGAGTACGAGTACGAGTACGTCCGTGTGCGTGCGTGCGTGTGTGTGTACGAATACAGATGGAAGGGAAATCAATATCAAATTGTTATCGTTATCGTTATCAAATTGTAAGCGTCGATTTGTTGGTTTTGTTGTTGTTGTTGTTGTTTTTTCAAGTAATCATTAATAATTTGATTTAAATAGAATTATAGTTATTGTTATTAGTTTATATCGTTGTTGGATTTTGTACATTATTGTTGTGTAGATATTTTTATAAGATGATGAGCATAATTTACATGGCGCAGATGATGGGCGCGCAGGCGAAAAGCGTATGATACACACAAGAGACGCATATAATAACGGTAAACGGCAACGAGAGAAAGAGACGGAGAGAGAGAGAGAGAGAGAGAGAGAGAGAAAGAGAGAGATATATATGATATAAGAGTAAGCATTAGAATTAATATATACAGAGCATAACTCAAACGGCACAGTGGTACACAGGCACAGTGGTACACAGGCACTCAAACATTGAACTGAAACTTGAGAGGAGAGAATAAAGCAAAAAAAAAACCTGCAATACTCACTGCACGGGCGATGGGGCGGCATGGGCGGCGGGCGCGGGCAGGCGCGGCGCCTCCGGATTGCGTTGCGGTCCCGTCACCGGCCGATACTCGAGCAGATTGTACGTCTTCCAGAAGAGATACTCGCGATAGTATTTGAGGCCCTCGTAGAGCAGCGCCAGCAGAAAGATGGCTATCATGGAGCCAATCAGGCCGGCGATCGTCTCGATGTGCCACCACGAGAACAGGATTGTCTCATTGTAGCCGAAATGGAACTGCCCGAAAATTGGGTGTGGGTTGGGAAGCGGGGGGGTAGGATTATTAGCAAATGGCCAAACAGTTTGGCATGCTGGGCACTTACCGCCATGGACATCATGTGCTCCATGCCGGTGCCCGTGCCTCCGCCGCCGCCGCCGCCATGATGATGGCCAGCATGCATGCCCATGGCCAGATCCCCGTGCGGCGTCGCCAGCGGCGGACTCAGCGTGGTCGCGTCCAGGCCCATGTGCTCGTGATCGTGATGCATGTTCGCGTGATCGTGTCCGTGCATGGAATGGTCAATCAGTTCTGTTTTGGGCAATCGAGGCTACATTCTGTCAACGGACATCTCATGGGACCAAGGGCTACTCACCAACATTGGGTGCGCTGTGGTGTGCGTGTGCGTCCATTTCGCCAGGTGATATATATCTAGGGCCGTGTTAATATCTGCGGTGAAAGTTGAAAGTCAAACATGAGATGTAGTCAAAAACTATAGCAAGTGCTCGACTGCTAGATACCCTTGAAGTAACTCTATTCAATTTAGCATGGAGCTGAATTATAGTCCAGATTTTCTGGGCATGCTCTACAGGAAGCTAACTAACAAGTTGGTTAGCTCCAGCTCAGATAGACTTCGAGTTATGCCTAATAAGCAAGTTTGCAAAATCGATATTTATCGATGGGCTGCAGCTTCGGCTCAAGACTTCTGATATGCCTCATGGACTCGTTGGTGCAAACTGTTACGGGGTATAACAATTACAAATCCGGCAAATGTTTCGGTCTCCCGCTGTCCAACTAGAAAGTAATTCATTCACTTCCCGCAATCAAATGACGCGGCACCTTTCACCCGCCAGCAGCAGCAGCAGCTCAATCCAAATGGGGTTAGAAAGTACCCAAATGACCCATTGCCACGCCACGCCCCGCCCCTCCCAGTTGCTCCACGCACACAAAGGTCATGCATTCCAGTGCGGCATTCATACAAATTGAAATTGAAATATTCAGCATAACTCGGCGTGCGTATAAAGCATCCAGCGTGGAGCGTGGAGAAAGCATCCAGCTTCATTTGAAACTTATATTTAATCGATAAACGCCTGCACAGGCGCTCAATAGTTATCGACCTCGAAATACCCTAGAAAAGTTAACTTTATAGGGATAAATCACGTACCCAAACTCGGCTTATTACCGATTGCCAGTTATCGATAACAGCAATAGTCTCTTTCTTTGTTAAACTCAATTAAACTTTAACAACATTTGTACCATATCTTAATGGTATTTAAATAATCTGTCGATATTCATGTTGCATGCCCATGCTCTGCTGTTTATCGATAACATATCGCAATATAATTTTTGCTTTTCAAACAATATTTGATAAATTATGCTCTTTTCCACATTTAAGCCATTAGGAAATGGCCTTTAAGTGATCTATATATATATATATTCCTTGCACACTTAACGATAAGTCTGATGGTTATCGATAACACATAGCAATATATTATTTAAGTAATTCGTCCGCAATTGCATTGCAAAAACTTCTTTTCATATGTGAACATTTGCTGAATGCTTTTCGAATAATATCTCTAGATATTTGTTTCGCAGCAAACGATTTATCACGTACCCAAGCTCGATATGTTATCGATAACTGCAATGTTAATTTGTGTAAATACAAATTACTTTCCCTTTTAGTCTTTTTTGGAATGCAACGTTTTTACAGTGTATATATTCATGATATATTCATATCCGACTTTATCAACAACAATTTGGCTTCGGCTTACCGCAAATGTCGCTTTCGAGGCGTGGCAGACGCCTCCTGCTATTCAAGTTGAGTCAAGGCCGGTGGGCCCAACTGCAACGAGCCGAATTTCAGATTGAGGCACGACACTTGTTGTGCCGTTTGTGACCACACTCACACACACACACACACACACACACACTCAGATATCACATATCAGAAAGGCAGCAAAATACAAATAAATGATAAGGTGCATTAGGGTGTTCGGTTTGTCTGTGGTTTGTTTTTTGATAGCGCCGAGCTACAAGCGCAATTAGCGCAATGTGCACGACAATATCAGACACAATGTGAAAAGAGGGTGCCATATGCACACAATTAGAGTATATATACAGTGAATACCCAGCTTAACGAACAGCAAGAAATTTATCTTAATGCGATTTACATATTGTAGAAGGAAGCAAGCACCTTCGAAGCCATACTTTAAATATGCATATATATATATACATATATGGAAACTCTGAATATATGTTTGACTATATCACATGCAGCACAGGTTTATCAAAATCTCTTATCAGTTCTTTAGCATCGCTAAAACTATGCTTTCTTTAGAAATTTCGCAGATTTTAAGAGCTATTTGATATGTATTCAACATTTTGGATACATGCCCTCAGTTTCTACAAAAGCGAAAGAGGAGTCTGTTTGAAAGCGCTGAAAATCGCAAATAGATCGGACCATAAGCACCGAGTTTTACATAGTAGGAAGAAGCGCAGCCTGCGTTAATGCCTCACAGGGTAGCTGCCAGTCGAGCACTCTTTTCTTTTCTCCACGGTTATCTGGAGTAAAAACTGTGCGTTCGCTCTGGCGAGTCTTCACTGTACTTAAGCATAGGCATTCCAAAGGTCGCATATTTATGGTAATTCGTTCGCAACGCGATTTATGGGGAATTACCATACGCGCTTTATATCAAATACTATATACCATATATATATATATAGATGAATATATTTAAACGTCACACATCTAGAATCGCTCTCCCTCTCCCTCTCTCTCCCTCTCTCTCTCTCTCTGGTTATACTTGTTTTTTACGATCGCAGATAAGTATATAATTTGTTCTCTGTATTTAATCAACATTCGCTTGACTGTTTTGTGGAATACCTTTGGTAATGTGTGCTTTGGGGAAATGCCTGTGCCCCCGCCCATCCCCCATCTCCCCTGCGCAACGAGCTTCAGTCGAAAAGCCGGTTTCAGCAACAATAGATGAAATATCTCGGCTCGCTTTGGTAATTGGCAAATGTTGGAAAAACTAAACCTGCCTCAAACTGAGTCACGAGACTCAACGTAACCGGGCTATGGATCACAAATAATAAAAAACTAAGTGAAATAAAACGAGTTTCGAATCGCAAAAGCTTAAAGCGTAGCTCGGCACATAAAAAAAACCCCATTAAAAAGAAAACAAAGTGAAAGAATGCCCTCAATGAATCCCAGCCCCATTCTCCAACGATCCAGCTATATGAACAATTCTCTCTCTCTCTCTCTATCTCTCTCTCTCTATATATATATATATATATATATCTGTTTCCAAACCAATTTGAGAGGCAAATAGACGTTCGCCTTGAAGCTGGCCGAGCCTCTTTGACTGGCCCAACGGGTTGCTTGGCCGGAATTGTTTTGGGCTCGCATTTAAGAGAAATCTACTCAAAACTTTGAGTTGGGCCTTTCGATTAGGCTAATTCAACATTAATCTGTAATTGCGATTTTCCAGGCAACTTACGTCCAAATATATACAAATAGATGGATCTAAAAAAAAATGACAATCTAGCAGAGAATTCTAGCTATATATCGTATATAGATCGTATATATTACAAAAGCTCATTCATTATAAACTAGTTTGTATAATATATATATATATGCATATATATTAAGTTATAGTCTATTTAATATGGAAATATTATAGTGTGCTTCATCAAATTTGTTTTCTCCTCAATCTCAGGCAATTATTTCTGGGAAAAACATTTAAAAAATTATTATTTATAATATTAAATATTAAAAAGCACGATTAGTTCGTTTGTTTCTTTCTTTTCTCAAGTATTATTATAAGTATTTGTATAGATATATTATATAATTTTCAAAACAAAAGCTTATCGATCTATAATAATTGTGAAGGATTTGCCTAGGAGAGAATCCTAGGCTCAAAAGAAAATTTGTAAATGTTTTTCTTTGCTTTTTCTTTTTTGAATTGTGTGATACGAGAGTCTAGATTTATCTAGATTTGACTATGGGAATATTATATGCTATAAGGAATTGTTGGGTCGAATCCTCCCCCAGCAGGAGGGATTCAGGATTTCCGGCCTAATACTGGCTTTGGCATTTGCCACGCCCTCAATGCCCCTAAATACCAATTCGACGGGCAGATAATATATTTATCATATATTTTTAATGGCTTTTCCACATGGGTTTGGCGTTATGCATAGTCTTTCGCAACTAGATCGGGATTCTTTTCAAAACCCAAAAAAAAAACCATTTATTTTTGAAAGGGACTGTTTTGTAATCCAAAGTTGAACATGCATAGATACAAATCAAGGGCATTATCTAAAAGTACAAAACTCGACTCAACCTACAGACATAACATAACTTATTACTTATTTTCGTTTCGAATTGTTACTTTAAAAAACGAACTGGTAAATTTGCCATTCGAGCTGCGCAACAATTCCCGTGTCGAATCAAAGATCAGCTAAACGGTAAATGGTAAATGGTAACGGGTTTTTTCTCTCCCTTTTTTCAGTGTGTCTCTTTCTCGAGTAAAGACTTTCGTTTTCAGCTGGATACATTGGCAGCTCCCATTAGCAACTCTGAGTGCTTGTCGCACTGATATTTATGGACGGTGGAAATACATATATCCCTTGATTATGCTCACAGCTTTCATTAATATGACATGCTACATACATAAATAACCAATTGAATTCAAGATTTGCATTCATATTTTAATAAATCTGCTGCTGCTGAAAATTTCAGCTTCGCGTAGAAATCGCATTTGAACTTATCGCAGAAGACATTTGATCCATTGTGCATCGCTATGCAAACACTTGCAATTGTAATCGGTTTTTATGTGCAAACTTGTTTGGGCAACACTGAGCCAGCGAGAGCGACAGCAGAAGAGAGTAAAACAAGAGAGACCCTCTATGACAGCTGACAGTGGGAGACTGTGATTGGTGCATGTTTGGGAGTGCGTTCATTTGCATTGACAAAAACGCTTGGCTGGGGCGCGCCGGGGGCAAGGGGGATATGCTGTGTGTGAGCTTGTTACGTCACAGTGCGCGCTACATTCGAGTTGCGAGACAATTGCAAATATTGCACGAAGCGATCGAAATTGATCACCGAGCGCAAAAGAGATTTAAATATCAACACACATACAGACGCACGTGACGACTGTAAGTGTGCAAGTTATGCGTGTCTGTCCGTGTGGATGCGAATAACTGTTAAATAGCGAATCGACTGATTAACAAGCGAGGCAACAGCGCCCACTGATAAAGGGCCTCGCACGTTCTTTTATTTATTGATAAGTGTGGTATTAAAAGCAACTACTGCAACAATTACATTGTGTTATTGTATATACATATATATAAATAATTCTACTTACTGCACTATACTTGTCTGCTCCGCCAGCAATTGCGAATACAAATACGAACAAGAATAAGCTGGTATATAAAAAAAAAACTCGAGGGAATGTGCAAAGCTGAAACAGAAATCGGTAATAAATAAACGATACAGGTTTTTCTTTTTCTTTTTTTTTGGGAATGTAATCACTGTTTAAATATGCCTACACACACGCGCACACGTACACGCACACAGGGACCCGGCAAGTCATATTTATCGTTGTTGCGTTTCGCATGCCGTGCTTGCAACCTCAGAGAGATGCACAATCAGAACAGCTGTTCATAACGGCATAATTGAACAATCAAAAGCAACGTTAACGACAACAACAACGACAACGACGATGGCGGCGACGACAACAACAATGGCAATTGTTTGCAGGTGGTCTAATCATGAGCATAACAATAATGCCAATGTTTACTGCACTCTGTTCGCTTAACACTCAACATAATAAGATAAAGAAAAAATACAATTTATAGAAAAACCGCACTGTCAACGTTATTTAATCACATATCAAACACATTTCCATTTAGCTGTGTGTGCTTCGCAGGCTTATGCACAACTTTGTTGCATTATCGCACTGTAATCGACTTATTGTTTATTTGAAGAAAAAAACAAAATGCATTATTTACTTCTTTTTTCCGTACTGATATTAAAAAAAATACAACCAAAATGCGCACGTCCGCCCGCAGACAACTTGTTCGCACGATTAAAATACCACCTCCTTCATGGCACCATCGTTGACAACGATTGCTGAGCTTTTCGATCCACAAGCCGATTGTTTTGTTATCGATTTATTTTATCGGTTACGGAAATGCGCGTTACGCAAATAATTACAGTGTTTAACGAAAATCGCGTTATGACCCCAAAATCCCAAAATTTTGAAATTTATTGACAAATGTAGCACAATATTATATTAAATCAATGGCTAAAGCAAAAGCAAAAGCATTAAATATTTAAAACAGCTGTGTTGTATGTACACAGATGTTTTATGTTTTGTATACAGTGTGTACACACCACCGCTCGCCCATCAGCCGCTGCAGTGTGCACCCAACAGATTTAGTTTAAGAACAATTTATGCGCAGTAAATAACTAAAAGGAAACGTTGTTTATTAAGGTGTTACAAGGTGTGTAAATAATTGAATATTGCTGCTTAATTCTCGTTCTAACTGTAACTTTTATGCCTAAGCATATTGGAAGTGCCGTTCAGACATCAGTTGCTGCACGCCCCAGGAAAGTGGTCAAAACAAATACCACGTGCATCCGAGACAGCTTTTTTTTCTTTCTTCTTGTTGTCATATTAATTTCAAAAAGAAAGCCTCAAGATGGGTATGGTACAAAAGCGCAAAAAGATGCACTATGGCGACACGCATCTGCAGCGTCGCTGGCGTGTACGCAACCGTCGCAGGGATCTCGACCAAATCGATGACGATCTGCGCACACGCAGCGGCGAGCTAATTAATCAGAACGTGGACCTTGATAAGCCGGGCTTCGCACAGTTCTATTGTGTTCACTGTGCCAAGTACTTCATCGACGACAGATCGATGCAGGCGCACTTTCGCACCAAGGTGCACAAGCGCCGCCTAAAGGCGCTCGAAACGGAGCCATACAGCATCGAGGAGTCGGAGCGTGCGGCTGGCCGCGGCAGCTTCCAGATGCCCAAGAAGCGCGTCATCGAGACGCAGCCAAGCAAAGATGAGGTCAAGGCTGGCAAGCGCATCAAAGTTGAGGTGAAGCCCGAAGAGGACAAGCCCATGGACGAGGATGCGCCCACAACATCCGCAAAGCTGACACGAAAGAAACCTAAGAAAATGGCGACCTGAATTGTAATGCTATGCAGATTTTCTTTAGCTCGTTAAACCAATATATGTATATTTTTTTTTTATATATATGTAAACCTTTCCAAATCTAAAAAGTTCATTGTAATAGCTTGCGCAGTCGCCGAACCTTATGTAAATCGTACATTACAAAAGAATGTAAAATATATAGACGAATATTCGTCTTACATTAATCAAATATCCTGTAATGCCTTTATATGTGCAAATAGTGCAGGGCTATAAGTATATAATTATAAATTAGGCACACCTGATCTGACAAAATATATTAACTCTTGATAATCGCATAATTGTTATATTTATATATACATAGATGTATACTTCGCCGAGTGCATCTCGAGCCTTGACAACGATCCGACTTCCCAATTACGATCTTTTATTATATATCTCAAATTAAATCAGAGCACTTTCATAAGCATCCGGACTACAATATGATTAGTTTAGTTGGCGAAGAGTTCCATTCTTTCATGAATATACTGTACACTTAATCTATAAAAGTTGATTATTTCGAAAATCCAATTTAATGATGTTTTCAATTTCTGAAAGATATCCCTCAGCTGAAAATCTGGGCATTATCTTAACGTAAATACTTTCCTTAAGCCATGAAATGTTGTCCAAGCATAAAACCACAAAACAATTATAATTTGTTCATTCAAATTGAATGGTATAAATATATTATTTTGTATATAGATACGAATCAGTTAACTCGACGCACACATGAATTGCTTATGCATATTGTATATATATACATATATATATATATAGATATATACATATATACACATATAAATCTATACATAGACTTAAACTTATTCGAACTATATAACATGTACATTTTTGTTTTTTATAACAAACAACAGAACTTGCTGCCGCTTTTTTTTAAGTACTAGATCTATTTAGTTTTATACTATTTGGTTGTCAAGTTATCTGCATTTATTCTCAATGATTATTTGGTATAATTACAAAAAAAAAAAAAAAAAAAAAAAAAAAAAAAAAAACATTTTTATTTTTAAATTTATTTGTTTGTTGTATAAATATGTGTATAAATTTAATGCATGTATTTTTTTTTTTTTTTTTGTGTACATAAAATGGGTTATCCGAAAACCAAACGGATTTGATTTAGACTTTGAATATAAGAACGAGCGCTCAAAACATTGCTGAGGTATATGATCTTTGTGTGTTTGGTTTTTTGTGTGATTTTCCTATAAATATTTCTGTTTTTTTTTTTTTTTTTTTTGGTTTTTATTTGTTTAAGTATTTGCGACCGGGAGCGGCAATTTTTGAGTTTTATATGTCCCTTTATACTTTGTGATCCTCTCTCGTAATTCTCCGTGAAGATATGCATGGAACTAGGATGATTACTGGGCAGTGTGTGTGTGTGATGTGTGTGTGTGTGTGTGCTGCTGTGTGTATTAAGGATGTGCGTATGTATGTACAGGCACGATTGTGTGTTTGTGTGCGTGTGTGTTTGTAAATACATATAAACTATGCCCGACACTGGCCAAAAAAAAAATGTATGTATATATATATATAGATATATATCCTAAGCTCTAGAGGTTATCAAAGGGTTTTCGACTAGTTTTCACAGTTTGTTTAGAGTTTGTTGCGGCTGCTCAGCGGCTGGTGAAGCAGCTGCCGCTCTGGCTCCCGCTCCCGTTCCCGTTCCCGCTCCAGCTTCAATTGCAGCTGCAGCTCCCGCTCCCGCTGCCGCTTTGGTGGCGCGCCTGCGCGTCATTTGCTTGGGCGCCTCGGTGCGCAGTTTGGCGGCAACGGCAGCGGGCACAGCCGGAACTGTCGGCTGCTCGGTGAAGAAGGGATGATTGAGCGCCTGTTCGGCGGTGATGCGCTTGTGCGGATTGATCTCGAGCAGGCGGCTGAGCAGATCGTAGGCGCTGGCCGGAAAACATTCGTACGGATCGAGCGGCTCGGTCACATAGGGGCTCTCCTCGCAGAGGCAATTAAAGAAATATTGATCACAGTTCTTGCACACATCGATCCGGCCGTCGGGTGATTCGTGCTTGCGCACCATCTGCTGGTCACTGAAGATGAGACGATGCCGGAAGCGCAGGCACAGCTTGCGCAAATTGAGCGGCTTCGAGCGCTGGCTAAGCGTCACCATGCGCTCCAGGGCCAGGGCCGTTTTGCGTATGGCGCGATCACCAAAGATGGTCACGATCTCGGCCAGAGCGACAAAGTCGTTGGGCGCCTTAAAGAACGGATAGACGGAGGATAGTATCGACAAGAAGATGACGCCCGCTGCCCATATATCCACGGCGGTTGTCTGATCCGCATACTTGAGCAGCACCTCGGGCGGCCTATAGCCGGGCGTGCCCGCTCGCGACGCATGCACCTCCTTCTTCATAAGGCAGTTGATGCAAACGGACGGATTCGCAAAGCAATAGCATTTTGCATTGCCGCCGCCGGCGCCGCCGGCGCCACCGACGCCGCCGCCAGCAATGCGATTCGTGTTGTACTTGCTGCTGCTGGTCGCCACGCTCGACTCCGCCGGCTGCACGGACTGTGCCTGTGCCTGTCCCGGTCCCGTCGGCGGCGCCGGCTGTTGCTGTGTGTCGGGCGCGATCTCAGTGAGACTCTGTTTGGCATCGCACTTGGCGCTCTGCGCAATCTCGTTGACCGGCTTGAGCGGCATCTTGTTCCAGTTGCTGGCATTGCTATCATCGTTGAGCCGCATCCGCTTGACCGCGCCTCCAAGTGCCGCCTCCGATGCAGTTGCTGCTGCTGATGCCGCCAGCTGCTGCTGCTGTCCAGAGGCATCGCGTGGTCGCTTGCTGTTGCTGGCCGCCAGCTGCTGCTGCTGCTGCTGCTGCTGTTGCTGTTGCTGCTGGGAGGCAGTTATGCTGGTTGGGCCGCCGCTTAGATTCACATGCTGCGCCAGGCCAAAGTCCACGAGCAGAAACTGGCCCTGCCGTCGATTGTACAGAAAGTTGCTGGGCTTCACATCGCGATGAATTATGTTGAACTTGTGGACATGCCGCAGCGCCAACAGCAGGTTACGCATATACAAACGGATCTCCGGCACCTCCATCTTGGTATAGAAATCATGGAAACGATCGTGCGGCATATAGGGCATCACGAATGCCGCCGACGCCTCGCAGCGCAAACAGCAGTGGATGCCCACAACGTTGTCGGTGCCCCTGCAAAATGAAAGAGCAGAGAAGAGATCAGATCAGAGAAGTGACAAGAGGAGCAAGAAGAGAGCGGAGGCGAGAGATAAGAGATAAGAGAGAACAATCGCTAATCTTAGACTTTTCCAGTTTGAAATTTCAAAGAACAATTTCCAAAATCGATTTTTACGTTTCCCAATCTTAGACTGGATTATTTGGTTGCCGAGGCCAAGTGCCAAGGAAAATCTGACGAACCAAAACCTGAGTATATATATGAAGTTATAGAAAACCAGATTTACGAATTGTACCCTTGTCGGACCTGGAGTTGGTTCATGAGAAAACCAAGAATAGATATAAATATCGGACTAAGGACTTTTGCATAAAGGAAGAAATTAAGTTAAGGGTGAGAAAAGGTCTGTCTTCGAGGCTGTAGATGTTCGCGTGCAAAATATGGCCTAGAGCACAATAAGGGTTAAGAGAATGAACACACATCTTCGTTTAATTTGTTGCTAATGTGAGAAACTCATTATTAATAATATTAACAGCTCTATAAATCGATGCTGCGCGCATTTACTAATGATAAATATACACAGCGAAAAGAGGAACTCGAGATGAGCTCATTGGGTCTCCCGGTTTCCATATTTCAAGCCGTGCAGAGGTCGCCCACGTCGATGGCCGGTCGGATGGTCGGTCGGGTTGCCCGGTCTGGTCTACCGACGTCACAGCGATGATTATTCGCCGGGCATTGCGCACGACCAAATCCCCGTCTCCCAATCATAATTATCAGCGCTGTGACGCAATTGGGCAACGGAATTTGCGCAAATTGAACGAATAGGGATAGATATATGTACATATACAGGCGCAGATACACGCGAGAAAGAGAAAGAGCGAGAGAGAGGCATCAGTCCAGTCGGCGTCTGACCGACCGACCGGCCGGCCGGTTGTCTGGCTAGCCCTCCCCCACCCCCCACCCACGCGGCCCACGCAAAGACTGTCATATGCTCTCAAATATGTTCGCTTTCTCTCGCTCTCGCGCGAGCTCGTTGGCCATAAATAATGCAAGAACCCTAGCGGAACTTAAGCTGGTTGCCATTTAGGCACATTTTGGCGATAACCTTGCCCAAGGTAGTTCAAAGCGGAATTGAACTGTTTTTTTTTGTTTTTTGCTTTTCTACGTCATCGCACAGTGTGATATGCACAACACACACACACTTGCACACATGTACAAGTATAAATAACATATTACGTATGTATTGCTTATCTAATCTCGCTAAGCAGCACGAGATTATCGATAATACGCAAACGCAAAATTGTGTAATCGATACTTATTGGAAGGCGGTGGAAGGATATGCAAAATACGTCAAGTCCAAATTGCCCACTTTGCGCAAATGGCAAAGCTCTTAAGCAACAATCTTTATGAGTGTGTGTGTGTCTGCATGTGTGTGTGTGTGTACGTGCATATAAGTGTATTTACGTCTGCACAGACTAATCTATGCATGTAAGTGTGCGCATATGAAATGTATTTGCAAGATTTGTAAACAAATATTACATGAGCAGCAATTCGCACATGAGAGCGAGTGAGAGCGGCGATGGTGTAACTAAGAAGAAGAGAAGAAGGTGGCACGTGAATGGTGTGTGAAAGTGTAATAAACGTCGAAGCAATCGATGACCACGGCAACTTAAATAAAGTGCAATGACGTATGTAAGATACGTATGACAAGATACGTCTGCTGCGAGCGGCTGACGTCGTTCGTGACGCTCTCAATGGAAATGCGGCACAGGCCGACACACATTGAGGAATTATTAACGTTTTGCTTGGCATTTGAATTAGCCAATGAATTATGTTATTAGACATACCCCATATCTGTCATGCACTGCAGCTCCTTCATAATGCGATCGGGATGGCTGGTGGGTATATGATGTTTGATCGCAAACTTGCGACGCATGCTGTCCGGCAGCTGTGCCTCCCGCTTGAGCGTCGCCAGCAGCACAGTGCTGAATGTACCGTTACCGATGCGGCTCTGTACATCGAATATTTGTGCAATGTCCGGTATGCGCAGCAGCAGATCGTTGATGGCCTCTGCAAGTTGAACAATTATCAATTATTAATGTGCATTACAAAATGGCAATTTAATCAAATCTGGCAGCACTCTCTCCACCTCTCTCTCTCTCTCACTCTCTCTTCCACTCGCTTACGAACTAAGCTAGCACGAGTTGTGCATAAAAATAGATTTGAAATGACACACACAGACACACACACACACATACAGCTACGCATACAATATTCAGTGCTGCCATGGAAATACAAAGAAACGCACACAAATCTAAAATCAAGATGGTTGCCTACCGTCACTTTTGTTGCGTGGCTTCGTCCTGTAATTGGCCGCAATCGTTGCATATTGTTCGGCGATTGCCAACACTGAGGATGGATGCTTCTGCAGCTTCACAACATTGTTGCTCTGTTTGTTGTTTATTATTATCGTTGTTGTTGTTGCTGCTGCTGCTGTTGTTGTTGCGTTTGCTGCTGCTGCTGCTGCTGCCTCTACGCGGGCGCGTGCAGCTGAAATCGCTGCAGTTGTTGCCTGAACCGTCTGCTCGTCCTGACGCGGCCAAGAGTGCATGCCTCTGCTGGGCTGCACATTGACTCTGATATTCCGAAACGCGGCTGCCAACTTGGAACTAGAGTTGCCATCGGCGGCTATTGTTCTTGTTGTTGTTGTATTTGTGGCCAGCTGCTGCGGTTTGTTGTGGTTCACATTGATTTTGGTAGCTGGTGCAGCCGCCACGACCGTGTTATTGTCGCAGCGGCCGTTGCCAGATTTAATGCGCTTTTCCATTGTTCAGGCGTTGTGGTTGTTGTTGTTGTTGTTGACGTTGGTTTAATCAGGAGCAGCATCTGCCTGAGCTGGCTTATGGGCAGAGTAGTATGAAGTTCGAGTAATTTGGCCACACTTTACAAATCACGCACGGTACTTTTTTTCTAATTCGTTTTTTGTTTTCTTTATTGTGCTAGCCGTTTTTTTTTTAAATTTAGTTTTTTTTTGTTTTTGTATTGCCGCCCTCTTGCCTCTGGGTGGAATGGCTGTTTTGGTTCTATAAATACATGGAAAATTTGGCCGAAACTTGCGAATATATTTGATCGGTTGAATTTAGCTGATAAAATTTTGTATATTTTTTTGTTGTTATTATTTCATCCAAACGAAACTGTTGAGCGCTGTAATATTACTGGCACACAGGCCGCTACGTTTTGCTTCTCACAGCAATGCCAAAATTCGAGCCGCTTACTTTTTTTACTCGCTTCCGATTCTGTTTGCTTGGCTCCGTCTCCGTCTCTGGTACTGGTATTGCTGCTGCTGTTGCTGTTGCTGTTGCTGCTGCATCTGCCGCTCCCGCTGTCACTCGCCTGTGTAGAGCGAAAGACGCACGATTTTTGGCGAATATCAGCGGGACTTGTTCACTTGCCTCTCGAACTTTCCGTTTTTATTAAATTAAATGCGACCATAGAGCAAGTTGCTTACTCTATGCCTGACAGGCCATTACAATTATTTGACAATTCAACAGCGATAAACGGCGAGCAGCTGATTTCAGTGTTGTTAACGCTGGTATATCGCTTGACCGCACCATTACCTATCGATAATTAATCGTTTAAGAGTGCGCGACAATTTAAATTTGCAATACAATTAGAATCGAGATACACTTTTTTATTAGGTTGACACTAAACTAAGACTATAAAAAGCAAATCGACATGAGAGAGACATCGCAGGTAGTTGAATACATGGCATACGTACTTACAAATATGGACTAAAACATAAAAATACAATAATGCAATTATTGGATATGGTTAAAAATAGAAACGTTCGTTCGCGAACCATTGAAAACGCCAGCGTGTTAAACACTAAATAAATACAATACAAATAATGAGGAAACAGAAAAAAAAAAATTAAATGCAAATCAACGCAAATTATGCGAACGCGTGGAATCGTTGGGCAACAGCGGAATGCCCACCGTATATGTGGCATTGCTGGCATCCATCTGATTGGGATCATCACATCGTGCACAGGGCCCAAACAGACGCAGCATGCGGGCAGCAAGGGATCTCTTCCTTTGGCCAATATGTGCATAGGTCCTGTACTGCTGCATACTAAACTGGCTGATGCTTGAGCTGCTGTTATTGGTATTGGTATTGCCATTGTCTGGCTCGTGTGTATTCAAGGGCACCAGCTCCATCACTCGATTGCTCGTTTTCTCAAAGCAAATGATGCCCTCGCGCTGGCTCCAGTTTAGCATGGGCGCAAAATTGATGGCCTGATGTCCGAACTTCGGTTGCGGTGAACGTAGCTCGTGACCCTCAATGTCAATGGCCGAATCATTGCTGCTGGGATGGCTGCTGCCCGAATTGTTAGTAGTCGCCCGGTTGGAGCTAGTTGGCTGCAAGTTTCCATTAACGTCCTCCCCAGCTGTAATTGAAAAGTAAGCGACTTTAATGATCTCTGCCTGATGTATGGCCATTAAAAAGCAGTGCCTACCTGCATGCCCATGGGCATCCACATCGGCGCTATCGTTGCTAAAGTTCAGGGAGAGCGGCTTTATATGGCCGCTCTTCTTCAACGATTTGGTCAGCTTTGGCTGGCGAATCGCGGGCGGCACGCTAAGCAGCGGTATTTCAATGGAGCCCGCGCTGCTGTCGTACGTTAGATCATGTAGATTCGCATTGGGATGCGGCGTTGCATTGGCCGCTATAGCGGGCATATCGGATAGATCGGACAGATTGGACATGTGCCCCGTAATCACTGGCAGATCAGTTTGTGTGGCCTTTGTCACGCGCACATTAGGCAAGGCGTGGCAATAGATCTGGGAACGAACCGAATGGCCACCAGCACCAAATGCATGCCCAGCACCACTAACGACCAAGGCTGTTTGACGCTTCAGCTTGTCCTTGCAGTCGGTTAGCTCGGTGCGTATAAGCTCAAAGTTGTTCCTTAAGAGAATGTTGGCGTCGATTCGTTCGTAGAGCTGCTTCTCCAGCATCTTGTTGTGCCACTGTAGGCTCTCCTTTTCGTTGATGAGCCGCTCGTAGCTCTCGTCGCGCATATGCTGGTCCGTGCCGCTGCTGTTTGTCAGCGACTCATCCAGCTTCTGCTGATCCTCGGCACCGCCACGTGGTGTCAGCGATTCTGGCATGGAACGATGCCGTTGAAATGTGCCGGCCGTAGTGCGACGCTGCTTCTCCTGGTCGTTAATGTCCGCTATGTATTTGCTCACTTTGCTGGTGACATGCTTGTAGCGACGTTTCGTATACGCCGAATGGATATCCTGATAGGAAACCGCTTTGCTGCTGCGTCCACTTCCCAGCTGTATGTGCCTGTCGGCGTGGTGGCCTTTATTGCTCGCCGCATTTTCTGGCAATCCAACCAAACCAAGTCAAATTAAGTGGCTGTGGTAAGTGCGCTCTCTTACTCACCGTGCTTGGGCTGATTATGATCGTGCTCCAGGCCAACCGGATCGCTGGCGCAGGTCTTCTCCGAGCAGTCGCTGTTCAAAAATGGCGACGGATGTCGCTCGAGGTTATCGGGGTCATCGAGATCCAGTGCATATTGTCGCTGATAGCTAAGACTTGTGCCTTGGCTGGCCGCTGTCGCGTTTAGCTTATCGAACAGATCATCGGCGGGAAAGCTTTCATCCTGCAAACTCATTTTTCAAGACACAAATTTCGCACATTAATTGTCGTCCAGGATTGCAAAATTGGAATAGCACCGTTACGAGCAGCATTGCCAACAATAAGGAAATTTAACTGGTTCCGCTCATTCAATTGGTCAATCGATGCCAGTTCCTTTCCAGTATTTTTGGCAATATCGATACCAGCGCCAACTTTAAGTGTTCAGCTATCGATATATTCAGACGACACTTCCATAAGCCGGCGTCACTATTGCTCGAATTTTCTACGAATCACTTGCACCTATTTCTGACAAACCTTAATTTTGTACTAAGTCTAACAAAATGTCCCTCGAACAGGTGAGTGTCAGTGACATGTATCCACAGACCTATATATGTATGTAATTTTCGCATACAGCTGAAGGCCGATGTCGCCGAGTGCGCCGCATTGCTGGAGCACGCGAAAAGTGCGCGTGTTAAAGGCGCGCTAACCCAGGCCAAAGCCGAGGCGGAGCGCGAAATAATCAATTTGGAGATAAAAGCACGACTGGCGGCTGAGCGGCAAGCTGGCGCAGATTCCAAGCGGTAAGTTCTTGCTGGACATACATACATATATACATTTTGGCAATTTAATTGAATATTCTCATGCACTGCAGATATCTGCATGAGCTGACGGATTACGGCTGGGATCAGAGCTCCAAATTTGTCAAATTATTTATAACACTCAACGGCGTACAGAATTGCGCCGAGGAGGCGGTCACCGTCAAGTACACGGATCACTCCTTGCAGCTGCACGTGAGCGATCTTAATGGCAAAGACTTCGGTCTGACTGTCAACAACCTGCTTTATGCCATCGACATTGAGAAGAGTTACCGCAAGCTGAAAACGGACATGGTGGCGATATATCTGAAAAAGGTCGAGGAGGGGCAGAGCTGGGACGTGCTGACGTCCATACAGAAGCGACTAAAGCAGAAGCAGGACAACGAGCTGGCCAAAGAGAGCGAGAATCCCGAGGGTGCTCTGGTCAACATCATGAAGAAAATGTACAACAGCGGCAATTCAAAAACAAAGCAAATGATTGCGAAAGCCTGGACCGAGAGCCAGGATAAGGCACGCTTTGGCTCGGAAGTTGGCGGTCTCGGCAATCTCGGCGATTTATAATTAGTATTTAGTTTTAAATGAGTCCAACAACGAAATACATTATATAAAATATATATTTGATACTCCATACACATGCCTAAGCTTTTCATGTGTGAACAAAGTGCGCATTCAATTATCTGTTTTCTCTTTCAGTCAATCAGTGATGCATTCGATTATCGATAAAAATGCAGCCATGTGCTGTATATATATAATTTGTGGCCTAACGAAAGATCACTGCTATGGCACTCCATAACGCATATTTAAATATCGTTGGGTGAAAAATTCAGATTATTCCCAATTAGTTACAGATGCGTGCGCTAATTTACCTTGGCAACAGGTGAGCACGACGCGCACTTGTTTTGCGTGAAACATCTCAGTGGGGCATAACGGGTTTGCTCCGCAACGTCCTCTATAATTGACTCCATTTCTATAATTAAGGCAATATGTTCTCTGTCAGACTTTCCAACTAATTCGCTACGCTAGATTTGCAGTCGAGACATGCAGGAAGATTTCTTAGATTATGAGCTGCAAATAGAATATGCCGAAATGCATGTGTTTTTGTTTGTTTTTATGGTTTACACTTTTAAATTACTAATTCAATTCTTGTGATTCAAATCAATATAATGTTCTTGTTGCAAATAGAATATGCCGAAATGCATGTGTTTTTGTTTGTTTTTATGGTTTACACTTTTAAATTACTAATTCAATTCTTGTGATTCAAATCAATATAATGTTCTTGTTGAAAGATTTGATCAGATCGAACCAACCCCGATTTTGAGAAAAAACGTGATGTAACCCCTTGCTTTTTGGTCGATTTGGGTCAAAATTTGGATTTTCATTTTCTTAATGCCAATCGATAGTACTGATCCTTACGAGTCCAAAATGGTATAAAATTTCAAAATCTGACATTATTTGGACGAGATATTCCAAAAAATCATAAAAAAGGGTTGATGTTAAAAACGAATCGTTTTTTTGTCCACAACTTTTTTTAACCCACTGAATTTTAATTTGTTTGAATGCCAATTGATAGTAGGGATCCGTACGAATTAAAGGTATAAAATTTCAAAATCAGACGATATTTACTCGAGATATTCAATAAAAATCATCGAAAAAGTTTTGATTTTCGAACCAACCCCGAATTTGAGAAAAAACGTGATGTAACCCCTTGCTTTTTGGTCGATTTGGGTCAAAATTTGGATTTTCATTTTCTTAATGCCAATCGATAGTACTGATCCTTACGAGTCCAAAATGGTATAAAATTTCAAAATCTGACATTATTTGGACGAGATATTCCAAAAAATCATAAAAAAGGGTTGATGTTAAAAACGACTCGTTTTTTTGTCCACAACTTTTTTTAACCCACTGAATTTTAATTTGTTTGAATGCCAATTGATAGTAGGGATCCGTACGAATTAAAAAAGGTATAAAATTTCAAAATCAGACGATATTTACTCGAGATATTCAATAAAAATCATCGAAAAAGTTTTGATTTTCGAACCAACCCCGAATTTGAGAAAAAACGTGATGTAACCCCTTGCTTTTTGGTCGATTTGGGTCAAAATTTGGATTTTCATTTTCTTAATGCCAATCGATAGTACTGATCCTTACGAGTCCAAAATGGTATAAAATTTCAAAATCTGACATTATTTGGACGAGATATTCCAAAAAATCATAAAAAAGGGTTGATGTTAAAAACGACTCGTTTTTTTGTCCACAACTTTTTTTAACCCACTGAATTTTAATTTGTTTGAATGCCAATTGATAGTAGGGATCCGTACGAATCAAAAAAGGTATAAAATTTCAAAATCAGTCGATATTTACTCGAGATATTCAATAAAAATCATCGAAAAAGTTTTGATTTTCGAACCAACCCCGAATTTGAGAAAAAACGTGATGTAACCCCTTGCTTTTTGGTCGATTTGGGTCAAAATTTGGATTTTCATTTTCTTAATGCCAATCGATAGTACTGATCCTTACGAGTCCAAAATGGTATAAAATTTCAAAATCTGACATTATTTGGACGAGATATTCCAAAAAATCATAAAAAAGGGTTGATGTTAAAAACGAATCGTTTTTTTGTCCACAACTTTTTTTAACCCACTGAATTTTAATTTGTTTGAATGCCAATTGATAGTAGGGATCCGTACGAATTAAAAAAGGTATAAAATTTCAAAATCAGACGATATTTACTCGAGATATTCAATAAAAATCATCGAAAAAGTTTTGATTTTCGAACCAACCCCGAATTTGAGAAAAAACGTGATGTAACCCCTTGCTTTTTGGTCGATTTGGGTCAAAATTTGGATTTTCATTTTCTTAATGCCAATCGATAGTACTGATCCTTACGAGTCCAAAATGGTATAAAATTTCAAAATCTGACATTATTTGGACGAGATATTCCAAAAAATCATAAAAAAGGGTTGATGTTAAAAACGAATCGTTTTTTTGTCCACAACTTTTTTTAACCCACTGAATTTTAATTTGTTTGAATGCCAATTGATAGTAGGGATCCGTACGAATTAAAAAAGGTATAAAATTTCAAAATCAGACGATATTTACTCGAGATATTCAATAAAAATCATCGAAAAAGTTTTGATTTTCGAACCAACCCCGAATTTGAGAAAAAACGTGATGTAACCCCTTGCTTTTTGGTCGATTTGGGTCAAAATTTGGATTTTCATTTTCTTAATGCCAATCGATAGTACTGATCCTTACGAGTCCAAAATGGTATAAAATTTCAAAATCTGACATTATTTGGACGAGATATTCCAAAAAATCATAAAAAAGGGTTGATGTTAAAAACGACTCGTTTTTTTGTCCACAACTTTTTTTAACCCACTGAATTTTAATTTGTTTGAATGCCAATTGATAGTAGGGATCAGTACGAATTAAAAAAGGTATAAAATTTCAAAATCAGTCGATATTTACTCGAGATATTCAATAAAAATCATCGAAAAAGTTTTGATTTTCGAACCAACCCCGAGTCCAACCCCGAGTCCAACCTTACGAGTCCAAAATGGTATAAAATTTCAAAATCTGACATTATTTGGACGAGATATTCCAAAAAATCATAAAAAAGGGTTGATGTTAAAAACGACTCGTTTTTTTGTCCACAACTATTTTTAACCCACTGAATTTTAATTTGTTTGAATGCCAATTGATAGTAGGGATCCGTACGAATTAAAAAAGGTATAAAATTTCAAAATCAGACGATATTTACTCGAGATATTCAATAAAAATCATCGAAAAAGTTTTGATTTTCGAACCAACCCCGAATTTGAGAAAAAACGTGATGTAACCCCTTGCTTTTTGGTCGATTTGGGTCAAAATTTGGATTTTCATTTTCTTAATGCCAATCGATAGTACTGATCCTTACGAGTCCAAAATGGTATAAAATTTCAAAATCTGACATTATTTGGACGAGATATTCCAAAAAATCATAAAAAAGGGTTGATGTTAAAAACGACTCGTTTTTTTGTCCACAACTTTTTTTAACCCACTGAATTTTAATTTGTTTGAATGCCAATTGATAGTAGGGATCCGTACGAATCAAAAAAGGTATAAAATTTCAAAATCAGTCGATATTTACTCGAGATATTCAATAAAAATCATCGAAAAAGTTTTGATTTTCGAACCAACCCCGAATTTGAGAAAAAACGTGATGTAACCCCTTGCTTTTTGGTCGATTTGGGTCAAAATTTGGATTTTCATTTTCTTAATGCCAATCGATAGTACTGATCCTTACGAGTCCAAAATGGTATAAAATTTCAAAATCTGACATTATTTGGACGAGATATTCCAAAAAATCATAAAAAAGGGTTGATGTTAAAAACGAATCGTTTTTTTGTCCACAACTTTTTTTAACCCACTGAATTTTAATTTGTTTGAATGCCAATTGATAGTAGGGATCCGTACGAATTAAAAAAGGTATAAAATTTCAAAATCAGACGATATTTACTCGAGATATTCAATAAAAATCATCGAAAAAGTTTTGATTTTCGAACCAACCCCGAATTTGAGAAAAAACGTGATGTAACCCCTTGCTTTTTGGTCGATTTGGGTCAAAATTTGGATTTTCATTTTCTTAATGCCAATCGATAGTACTGATCCTTACGAGTCCAAAATGGTATAAAATTTCAAAATCTGACATTATTTGGACGAGATATTCCAAAAAATCATAAAAAAGGGTTGATGTTAAAAACGAATCGTTTTTTTGTCCACAACTTTTTTTAACCCACTGAATTTTAATTTGTTTGAATGCCAATTGATAGTAGGGATCCGTACGAATTAAAAAAGGTATAAAATTTCAAAATCAGACGATATTTACTCGAGATATTCAATAAAAATCATCGAAAAAGTTTTGATTTTCGAACCAACCCCGAATTTGAGAAAAAACGTGATGTAACCCCTTGCTTTTTGGTCGATTTGGGTCAAAATTTGGATTTTCATTTTCTTAATGCCAATCGATAGTACTGATCCTTACGAGTCCAAAATGGTATAAAATTTCAAAATCTGACATTATTTGGACGAGATATTCCAAAAAATCATAAAAAAGGGTTGATGTTAAAAACGACTCGTTTTTTTGTCCACAACTTTTTTTAACCCACTGAATTTTAATTTGTTTGAATGCCAATTGATAGTAGGGATCAGTACGAATTAAAAAAGGTATAAAATTTCAAAATCAGTCGATATTTACTCGAGATATTCAATAAAAATCATCGAAAAAGTTTTGATTTTCGAACCAACCCCGAGTCCAACCCCGAGTCCAACCTTACGAGTCCAAAATGGTATAAAATTTCAAAATCTGACATTATTTGGACGAGATATTCCAAAAAATCATAAAAAAGGGTTGATGTTAAAAACGACTCGTTTTTTTGTCCACAACTTTTTTTAACCCACTGAATTTTAATTTGTTTGAATGCCAATTGATAGTAGGGATCCGTACGAATTAAAAAAGGTATAAAATTTCAAAATCAGACGATATTTACTCGAGATATTCAATAAAAATCATCGAAAAAGTTTTGATTTTCGAACCAACCCCGAATTTGAGAAAAAACGTGATGTAACCCCTTG